GGCAGCAGACTGCCAAACAACAGGGTGTGGGTCTTCTTTTGAACAAAAGAATGAAGGGGGCGTGGGAGCGTGGCGGTGAGGTGTGGGAAGCTGTAAGCCCCAGGCTACTTTGGGCTCGCCTTCCCATCAACCGGAGGCGAGGAATGGTGGTCGTGGTTACTTATGCCCCCACCGAAGATGAACATCCGTGGAGGGATGCAGGCAAAGCCGATGAGTCAGATGCCTTCTATGACCTCCTGTCACAGGTGCTGGCTAAAGTGGCCCCTCGGGATAGAGTCATCATGTTGGGTGACTTCAATGCCCGAGTTGGTCATGATACTGGCACCTGGTCTGGAGTGATTGGAGGGCATGGGCCAGATCAGCTCAATAACAACGGTAGGAGGCTGCTAGATTTTTGTGCAGCCCATGGGCTTGTAATTACCAACACGCTGTTCCGGCATCGGCGCATCCACACAACATCATGGATGCATGCCGGGTCCAAGCAAGAACATCTGCTGGACTACATAGTGACGGACCAGCGAATGCGAGCCCATGTCCTTGACACCAGGACCTACCGTGGAGCTGATCTGCCCTCTGACCATCGACTAGTCATCTGTAAGATGCGCCTGCCATTCTTCCACTCCGGTGGTGGGTGTACACCCAGGACCCCATTCCAACCTAAAGTGGCCTGGTCTCAGTTATCTGATGAAAGTTGCAAGCGAGAATTTCATCATCGCTTGCGGCTGGGATTGGCATCGTCCCCGACTCCTCCTGATGTGGAGGGTAAATGGGCGAGGTTTAGGACTGTGACTCATGCAGCTGCAATGGCTGCTCTGGGTACGCGGTCCAGACCTCCCCAGACACCCTGGATGACAGAGGAGTTGTTCAGGATGGTTGAGAAAAAGCGACAGGCCCACTGTCATCGGCTACAGAATCCCACGTCAGAGAATGAGGAGGTTTACCGCAGCCTTCGCTCGGAGGTTCGGAGAGCCGTGAGGCGCTGCAAGGATGGGTGGTGGTCGCGGGTTGCTGAGGAGATGGAGTCTGCCTCAGTGGCCCGTGATCACAAATCTCTATTTAACTCCATCAAAAAAGTAACCTGCAGCGCCACACCTATTACCATCATTAGGGGAAAAAACGGTGATCCAATTTCCGACCCCCAGGAACAGGTTCGCAGATTTGCTGAGCATTTCTGTGAGGTCCTGGGGGAGGGAAAATCCCTCAGCCAGGAAAACATCGTGGCACAAAGTGAGGATGACCCTGCTGAGGCTGCGGTGCCTCAAATATTGGATGAAGTCACCCCCTGTGAGTGGCTGGCTGAGGTGCCATCTGCTGAGGAAGTATTGAAGGCGATCCGTCTGAGACCAGGAAAGGCAGCGGGCAGAGATGATCTCCCAAGCGAAATGCTGAGGGAGGGTGGCGTTTGTGCACAGACTGCCCTATATGACATCATAACAACAGTCTGGACCACTGGACGGGTTCCGCAGGATTGGAAGGATGCCCTGGTGGTCCCCCTTTTTAAGAAGGGGGACCGCACAGACTGTAACAACTACAGGGGCATCTCACTCCTCAGTGTGCCGGGAAAGGTCCTGGCAAGGATTATTCAGCATCGCCTTGCCAGGCACGCTGAGGAGAGGCTTGCGGAGCCCCAATGCGGTTTCAGGAAAGGGCGGTCCTGCACAGATGCCATATTTTCTGTCCGTCTGCTACAGCAGAGGTGTAGGGAATTCCAACAAGACCTACATCTCTGCTTTATTGACCTGGTCAAGGCCTATGATACCATAAGTAGGCCTGGGCTCTGGGTCGTTCTTTGTGCTTTTGGAGTACCTGACCCTCTGCTCACGATCATTAAGGACCTTCATGATGGTGAGCGGGCCCGGGTAAAACTACGTGGCCGGGAGTCAGAGCCATTCCCTGTACACCTTGGGGTGCGACAGGGATGTCCTCTGGCTCCCACATTATTTAACATCTATTTTGACCACGTAGTTCGTGAAGCCTTCAATAGCTGTACCGGGGGAATCTCCATATGGTACAGATATAATGGGAGGCTAATCGATGCCCGGGTGCGGTCAAGGGATGGCTCCCTATTGCTCAACCACGTTATGTATGCTGATGATTTGGTAATAGCTGCTCAGTCAGAGGAGGAGTTGGAGACGCTGCTGTTGAGACTGGAGCGTGCCACTAAGAGGTGGGGCCTTACCATCAGCCCCACCAAAACTAAGCACCTGCCTGGGTATTTTGTACCATCGGACACTCCACCCCCACAACTCCCAATCGGTGATGGGGCAGTTGTGGAGAGAGTGGAGAGTTTCCCATACCTGGGCAGTGTGCTTATGACTGGCTCCAGTTTAACAGCAGAGGTCTCACTCCGAATCAGTCGAGCGGCAATATCTTTTCATCGGTTGCGTAACGCTGTGTGGAAGCTACCTGGTCTGTCGCTCCGCACTAAGCTTCAGGTCTTCTCGGCCACGGTCATTCCCTCCCTTCTCTACGCTTGCGAAACGTGGACCCCCCTAATGGAACATCTTCGCCGGTTAGAAACATTTAGGCTGGCCTGCCTACGATCCATCCTGGGTTTAACCAGACTGGATTGTGTGAGGAGCTCACAAATCCTTGAAAGATCTGGGCAGGGTCCCATCGGTGAGCTCCTCCGGCAGGCAAGGCTGCTATGGCTGGGTCATGTAGCCCGCATGCCCAGCCACCGCATGCCGAAACAGTTTTTGTTTGGCCGGATTGAGGGGGCTAAGCGGGCGCGGCACGGGCTAGAGAAGAGATGGAGTGATGTGGTACAGGAGGACGTGGAGCTGAGTGGACTTGCCGATGACTGGTTCCAGCGGTGTCAAGATCGGCCTCTGTGGAGGAGGCTCGTGAAGGATGCTACTGGGCAGTTGGAGGCAGTCGCCCTCCAACAACAACGGAGGGCGGAGGAGCGACGCTCACAACAACGAGCGGGGCGCCGGGTGGCTAAAGCACAGCAGGTTGGCACAGTAGGGGGCACAGGTGGTGCATCAGCCAGTCATCTCAGTCAGTCGACCCGTGGCACCTGGGTCTGCCCCGTGACCTCCTGCCAGCGGGCGTTCGACACTTCACGTGGCCTCAGGGTGCACATAGCCTGGCACAAGCGTCGTGGTGACGTCACCGCCACTTAATGGCGAATGGCGGTTGTTGTTGTTGTTGTGTGTGTGTGTCTGTGTGTGTGTGTCTGTGTGTGTGTCTCTGTGTGTCTGTGTGTGTGTGTCTGTGTGTGTGTCTGTGTGTGTCTGTGTGTGTGTCTGTGTGTGTGTGTGTGTCTGTGTGTGTGTCTGTGTGTGTGTGTGTTGTACCGTTCCGGCCTTCATAGGTGCTCGCTAACAGCACTTGCCCCTACAGTCTGTTAAGGCTATATGGGGGATCTTTATCTTTGTCTGTGTGTGTGTGTCTGTGTGTGTGTGTGTCTGTGTGTGTGTGTGTCTGTGTGTGTGTGTGTCTGTGTCTGTGCACCCAGCCTGGCACCGCCACCTCGCGGTGGATGGTGGCTGTTGTGGTACGAGTGTCTCTCTGCGGGTGTCTCCGTGTCTCTGTGTCACCGTGTCTTTCTTTGCGAGTGTCTCTGTGGGTGTCTCCGTGTCTGTGTTGGTGTTCCCGTGTCTCTGTGGGTGTCTATGGGTGTCTCCACGTCTCTGTGTCTCTCAATGGGTGTCTCCGTTTCTCTGTGTCTCTGTGTCTCCGTGTATCTGTGAGTGTCTCTGCGAGTGTCTCCATATCTCTGCGAGTGTCTATGGGTGTCTCCGTGTCCCTGCGGGTGTCTCCGTGTCTCTGTGGGTGTCTTTGCGAATGTCTCCGTGTCTCTGTGTCTCCATGTCTCCATGTCTCCATGTCTCCCCATGTGTCTCCATGTCTCCATGTGTCTCCATGTCTCTCCATGTGTCTCCATGTCTCTCCATGTCTCCATGTGTCTCCATGTGTCTCCATGTCTCCCCATGTGTCTCCATGTCTCCGAGTGTCTCTGAGTGTCTCCATGTGTCTCCATGTCTCTCCATGTGTCTCTGAGTGTCTCCATGTGTCTCCATGTCTCTCCATGTCTCCATGTGTCTCCATGTGTCTCCATGTCTCCCCATGTGTCTCCATGTCTCCATGTGTCTCCATGTCTCTCCATGTGTCTCCATGTCCCTCCATGTGTCTCCATGTGTCTCCGTGTCTCTCCGTGTGTCTCTGAGTGTCTCTATGTGTCTCCATGTCTCTCCATGTGTCTCTGAGTGTCTCCATGTCTCCATGTGTCTCCATGTGTCTCCATGTCTCCATGTGTCTCCATGTGTCTCCATGTGTCTCCATGTCTCCATGTGTCTCCATGTGTCTCTTAGTGTCTCCATGTGTCTCCATGTCTCTCCATGTCTCCCCATGTGTCTCCATGTCTCCGAGTGTCTCTGAGTGTCTCCATGTGTCTCCATGTGTCTCCATGTGTCTCTGAGTGTCTCCATGTCTCTCCATGTCCCCCCATGTGTCTCCATGTCTCTCCATGTCTCCATGTCTCCATGTGTCTCCATGTGTCTCCCCGTGTCTCCATGTGTCTCCATGTCTCCATGTGTCTCCATGTGTCTCCATGTCTCTCCATGTGTCTCCATGTGTCTCCATGTGTCTCCATGTCTCCATGTGTCTCCATGTGTCTCCATGTCTCTCCATGTCTCTCCATGTCCCCCCATGTGTCTCCATGTCTCCATGTGTCTCTGAGTGTCTCCATATCTCCATGTGTCTCCATGTCTCTCCATGTGTCTGCATGTCTCTCCATGTCTCTCCATGTGTCTCTGAGTGTCTCTGAGTGTCTCCATGTCTCTCCATGTGTCTCTGAGTGTCTCTGAGTGTCTCTGAGTGTCTCCATGTCTCTCCATGTGTCTCTGAGTGTCTCTGAGTGTCTCTGAGTGTCTCCATGTGTCTCCATGTGTCTCCATGTGTCTCTGAGTGTCTCTGAGTGTCTCTGAGTGTCTCCATGTGTCTCCATGTCTCTGAGTGTCTCCAAGCCGTGCTCTCGTGCCGCCCCTCCCCAGGCCGTGCTCCACGGCAACGCCGCGTGAAGGCGCCCAACCCCCAACCCAGCCACAGCCACAGCTCAAGCCGGGCCGACATGGACACAGAGGGGGTAGGAGGGGGTAGGAGGAGAGGGGTCACTCAGGGAGAGCACACACAGGGATCAAGGTCACTCAGAGAGGTGAAAGTTCACTCACAGGGGCCTCGCTGGGATGCGCGGGAGGAGTCGTCGTGGTGGTCGTCAATGCTGTGTCTGGGTGCGGGGTCGCGGCGGGGTCGCGGCGGGGTCGCGGCGGGGTCAAGTGACGCGTGCGAGGGCTGGGAAATTCTCTCCGGCTTTATTGTCCCCCCGAGGTGCACGACGCTCCCGTCATCCGTCCCGTTTCAGCAAAAAATAAAAGCAGACGCTTTAATAAATGACCCGAGAGGCCGAGTGGACGTCCGTGACCCCTCCTGCCGAATCCCAGCGGCTGCACCGCCCCCCGCAGTGACTCAGAAACCGGGCGTCTCGCCCACACGATCGCCGTGACACCACCCCCCCCCCCCCATCTCCGTGCGACCCACCAACCCCCGGGGTGCCCAACGAACAACGACAAGGTGACCTCCCCCCCTAACTTCCCGCCCTACCCCCACCGCCTCCGAGTCACGCGGAGGTCGTGACCCCGCCGGGACCCCCCGGACTCCCGTCGTCGACCGTCCTCGCTCGCTTGGGGGGCGGCCCCCCGTCCCGCCGCTCTTCGCCGCCGTCCGCGGCGACGGCGTCTCTGCCCCCCTCCTCGCCGCGCGCCCCCCCTGCCGGGGAGAGACAGCGCGGACGTCAGCTGGCGCCTGGGGACCGAGCCGTCGCCGTGACGACGGCTCGCGTCCGTGAACGTCGTCGGCGCGAGCCGAGGCCACCGCGTGTCGTCGGCGTCGCGGTCCGCACACTCGCGGGTCCCAACCTGACACCGCAAGCGACTTAAAGTTGAGTTCCTGCACACGGCAACCACCGCCTCCGTCCCCCCCCTCTCCCGGCAGCGGAGGGATAGCCCGGGCGACTACGTACGGTGCGACGGAAGTTCAACGTCCACACCCTGGGCCCTCCCGTCGACGAGATTCCTATCCTAGCCCGGTTGCGTAACGTCGCAGCGACAGCCCTCGATCCCCCCCAGCCCCGGCGCGAGCGCCACTTTGGCGCGGGGAAGTCAACAGTGGCTGTGTTGGGGACGGCCTCGCCCCAGCCCCAACCCCCTTTAGCCCCCCGCCACGGCAACGCGGAACGTCCACCGACGGGCACGGGGCTGCGAGCGGCAGAGCCGGCCGGCGCCATCACCTGCGAGCTCCCGAGGCGCCGCCAGCGCCGTCGCCGCCGCCGCCTCCTCCTCCTCTTCCCGCCGCCCGTGGCCCGGCGCGGCGGCCGCCGGCGTCGCCGCCCTCTCCCCGGCCAGCAAGGCGGCGGGCAGCGCGAAGCTGAAGCGCATCATCTCCTTGCCGGGCGCCACGTTGCGCACGTGGTGCAGGCCGCCGGCGGGCAGCGCGGCGCCGCCCAGCGCCGCCTCGGCGCGGGCCCGCACGTCGGCGGCCGGGTCGGGGCGAGCGCGAGAACGCGTACAGGTGCACCGTGGGGCCGCGGTGCGACGCCGCCAGCGCCGCCGCCGCCGCCGCGCCGCCGCCGCCCTCGTCCGCCAGCAGCCCCGGGAACTCCGACAGGAAGTCGAGCGCCAGCGCCGGCAGGTTCATGGTGATGTGGATGGCCGGCGGGGCGCCAACGTCGCCGATAGCGAGACTCTTACCGTCGCCGGTAACACCGCTGGCACTCGCGCTACCAACGCCGACACCATCGATGCCGTCACTCACGCCATCGCCGCCGACGCCGGCACCGCCGTCGCCAGCGCCGTCGCCAGCACCGACCCCAGCGACATTGACACCGTCGCCACTGACACCGTCGCCACTGACACCATCACCACCGATGCCACCGCCGCCGCCGCCGCCGTCCACTGCTAGGGCGGCGCGGCCCAGCTGCAGCAGCAGGTCCCTGACGGGCCCGCGGATGAATGCGCGCCCGTCCATGTTGTATACACGCGGGGCAGGAATGGCGCCCTCGGGCTCTGCCGCGGCGCCACCGGCGCCTGTCCCGGCCGTCACGTCAACGCCGGGCACCTTCGCCGCGAGCGGGCGTCGGCCGGAGACAAAAAGGGTCGGAATCAGAATGTTTCATTTGTCCTGAAGAAATCCCCACGAGCCACGAATTATACAGAGCAGCGGCAGCAGCGGCGGCGGCAGGACGGGACGAGGTAAGCGACCTGCCCGGCAGCGCTCGGCATGGACCGTAACAACGCCCCCTCCGTGACCTCCCCGACCTCCCCGCCGGGGCTCTCGGCATCAACGCCGCGGTGGCCCTCACCCACCGGAGAGACGTCCCATCCCGGGGTGGTGGGGGGGGGGGGATACTCGGGGGCGAAACGTTCACAAACAAAATTGGGAATGTGAAAAACGGGCACGGGGCTCCGGGCACCGGTGGCCGTAAACGGCGTCGGCGGACAACGGCGCGCGAATGTCGCCGCCCGTCTCGGCACGGAGAGACGGCGCTGCCGCCGGCGAGAGAGATGGCGGCGCTGCCGCCGGTGCCCACCTTGTTGATGAGGAGGTTGCGCAGCAGCCAGCGCGCCGCGTGGGGGTTCAGGTCGTTGGCGAGGACGCGGCAGCCACGGCGCGCCGCCGGTACGGCGAAGGGGCCGGCGCCGGCGAACACGTCGAGCAGCACGTCGGCGCGGCGTAGGCGCGAGACCACGCGAGCGTGCTCCGTGCCCAGGCGCGGGTTCCAGTAGACCTGAGCAAAGTCCAGCTCGAAGGTCCGCCCGTTCTCCCTCACCTGGGCGGGGGCGGAGGGCGCAGGAGAGAGGTCGCACGCGCAGTGCAGGCGCACGCAGTGCAACAACGAACGAGAACCGGGGATCGTGTCGCTGTGTTCGGAGAGCCGCGCGCTAACCGTTGCACCATCGCTCCCCACGCACACTCTCGCAACGGCCGCCATTCGCCACTTTGCGCCGGGGACGTCGGCACGGCGCTTGCGCCAGGCTACGAGCACTTTGAGGTGACGTGGAGTGTCGAAGGCTCGTTGGCAGGTCACGGGACAGACCCAGCAGGTGCCAACGGGTTGACCGAGCAGCGGAGATGACCGGCAGATGCGCCGCTCCGTGCCCCCTCCGCTGTGCCAACTCGCCGCGTTTGAACCGCCCCGGCGCTCCGTTCATTGTTGCGAGCGTCGCTCCTCGCGCACGCACACGACCGCGCGCCCGACGAGTTTTTCCCCACCCATCCCCCCGTGCCTGAGTGACGAGGTTGCCATCCCCCGCGAGGACCTCCATGTGGAAGTTGCGGAAGGTGGAGTCAATGATGTCCACCTTGTTCACCACCGTCGTCACGCCTGGGTTCTTGTCGATGATCACCTGACCTGCGCACATACACAGTCAGAGACAAAGATCCCCGGTGTAGCCTTAACAGACTGCTGGGGCAAGTGATGTTAGCGAGCACCTACGAAGGTCGGCACGGCACACGAGAGGGTGATTGACCAGCACCACGTCCGGCCGCCTTTGTCTCCCCAGTGGCGATGTTTACGCACCGCACCAGGTACTCATTTGAGGCCGAGTCGACCCAGGGGAAGGCCCAGGACCGGTTAAGATAATCGTCGCCGGTGTTGGCCGTGAGCGTGAATCGGCACTCGGGTCGCCGGGTTCGTAGCGGAGCGCGCCAACCACTACCCACACACAGACAAAGATTCCCCGTGTAGCCTCAACAGACTGTTGGGGCAAGTGGTGTTAGCGAGTGAGTGAACCATCTCACGAGCGAACGGCCTAAGCGGCCGCCCGAACCGTTAGGCGAGCAACGTTTGCGAGTCGAGTGACTGCGGGGAGCCTAGCCAGCCGAGCCGAGTGAGCCGAGCCAGCCGAGCGGGCCGAGCCAGCCGAGCGGGCCGAGCCAGCCGAGCGGGCCAAGCTTCCGCCTGCGCTCACCAATGAGGTGGCGGTACGGCAGCTGGTGCTGGCGCAGGTTGACGTGGGCGATGTGGCCGAGGCGGCTGAAGGCCGCGGGCACCTCGCGGCCCTCGGGCAGCACGGCGCGCAGCACCTCCTCGGCGCGGAAGTTGTCGTAGGCCAGCTCCAGGGTGTAGGCCGCGGGCCGTGCCAGCGGTAGGCCGCAGGCACCCAGCGCCTCGCGCAGCGTGGGGCCCGGCTCCTCTCCCACGCTCGTCCTCGCCGGGTCCAGCAGGATGTACTTGAGGCCTTCGCCATCGCCACGCCGGTTCTCTTCGGCGCCGGCGCCGACGGCGGCGGCGCCGCCATCGTCGGCGCCGGCGTCATTGGCGGAGGCGGTGGCGTCGTCTGCATCGGATTTGCCGGTGCCGGCGGTGGCGTCGACAACGCCGGCGTCCACGACGCGCCTCACGCCGGGCCGGCGCAGGGAGAGGGCGCTGAGCAGTCGCATGAGGCGTGAGACGGCGGCGGCCGGCACCACGATGGCCGGCACGGTGACACGGCGCGAGAAGGCGGCGCGGTCCAGCGACGTCATGCCACGCACGGCGCGCGGCGGGGCAAAATGCCCGGCGCCTTCCGGGCAGCTGGCCCGGTTGTCGGCTTGCGTCATCGCTCCGACGGTGGCGGAGGAGGAGGTGCGGGCCGACGCCGGGCGGGTTGATGACGAGGAGGATGAGGAGGGAGGGTGGACGGCCACGTGGGTGGACCCGCGGGTGAGGAGGTGGTGGGCGCGGCTGCCGAGGGCTCTGGCGGGGGAGAGACGTGCGCCGAGCGGTTAGCGGACGCCGCTTCCTGCTACGATCTAGCATCGCCTCCCGGTCATTCTGTTATTGCTACTACCACTCCTACCGTGGTCGCTACCAATACTACCACTACTACTGCCGCGGTGGCTTTGAGCTTTTCACGCTTGATTGCTCCACCCGTGTTGAGGTCGATACCAGACCTGTTGTCTCATCCACCACCACCACACTGCAGGTCACAACCACACACTCGCCAACCCACTCATTCACCTACACACTCACCCACCTAATCACCCACCCACTCACCACAACGCAGGTCACAACAACACTCTCAAGACAAAGATCCCCCTACAGCATTAATAGACTGTTGGGGCTCGTTGTTGTATGGGCCAGAACGGCACACAAGGGGGTGGGTGGCCAGCATCACGCCCGGCCGCCTTTGTCTCCCAAGTGACGATGTTTACATACTGCACCAGGTACTCATTTGAGGCTGAGTCGACCTAGGGAAGGTCCTGGACCGGTTAAGATGGTGTTGGCCGTCAGCAGGAATCGAAATCGGGTCGCTGTGTTCATAGCACAGGGCACTAACCGTTGCACTATCGCTCCCCACAACAAGATTCAACTCATATTTGCCACTAAGTAGTGGTGACATCACATTACTTGTGCTAGGCTATCTGCACTTTGAGGTGATGAAGTGTCGAAGGCTCACTCGCATGTCACGGAACACACCCAGGTGTCATAGGTTGACTGGCTGGGATAACGCAGATGCACCACCTGTGCCCCCCACTGTGACGTGCTGTGTTTTATCCGCCCGGCACTCCGCTCTGTAGCAGCATCCTTCACGAGCCTTCTCCAGAGGCCAATCTTGACGCCGTTGGTACCGGTCATTGGCAAGTCTATTCAGCTCCACATCCTCATGTATCGCATAAGCTCCATCTCTTTTCCAGCCCATGCTGCACCCGTTTAGCCCCTCTATCAGGCCAAACAGAAGCTGCTTGGGCATGCGGTGGCTGGGCATGCGAGCTACATGATCCAGCCAAGGCAGGCTCGCCTGCCGGAGGAGCTCACTGATATAACTGTGTTCAGATCTTTCAAGGATTTGTGAGCTCCACACAAAATCCAGCCTGGTTAAATACAGGATGGATCGTAGGCAGGCCAGCATGAATGTTTATAAATGGCGCATATGTTCCATTAGAGGGGTCCACGTTTCACAAGCATAGAGAAGGGGGGGCGGGGAGGTATGATTGTGACCCAAGAAATCAGAAGGTTTGTGTGGAGCGAAATACCAGGTAGCATCCACATCGCAGCGTTACAATGCAGCCGATGAAAAGAAAATGCTGCTCTACTGATTCGGAGACCTCATGCACACACCGCACTACAGGTCACACCAACCAATCCCCAATACACTCCCCAAGCTCTAACAACAACAACCACCTCGCTCAATGCAAGACCCGGGTTCATAACCTCGAATCCATGACAACTCTGATAACTGTGCCGTTTCTTTCTGGTTGCTCGACGATTTGAACCCTTGGGCCCATTCATTGGCCAAGTCCCCCTCACTAAACCGTCACCACTGTCCGCGAGCTGCGACAATCCTCGTAGCACACACACGAGACGACTGATGTACAATTTGGACTTGTATACTTTAGTCATATGTACTTACACCGTGACTTGCTGACCTTTTCGCGATTTTGCACTCCGATCTGTATTAGAAATACAGATTCTGCCGAGTTGTAACTTGCTGACCACCCGCCCTTTCTGGACATCTGTGATAGAGCTTTACAGCTCACCAGATTCCTCCTCCGCCACTCTAAATACAGATCCTGATTTCATCGCACCATCTCTACGGGTGTCACGTCTCTCTTCGTGGCCGCAAACCGTCTCGACCAACTGGGCGAGTGTCCTCGAGTCCCCGTGCTCCTCTCCCTACCCACACAAAGATCCTGCCCCGTGCAGCCTCAACAGACTGCTGGGGCAAGTGCTGTGAGCCACTATGAAGGTCGGAACGGCACACGAGGGGGGATGGCCGGCACCACGCCCGGCCGCCTTGTCTCTCCAGTAGCGATGTTTACACACCGCACCAGGTACTCATTTGAGGCTGAGTCGATCTAGGGGAGGCTCACGACCGGTTCAGATAATCGTCACTGGTGTTGGCTGTGAGCGGGAATCGAACCCGGGTCGCCAGATTTGTAGTGCAGCGTAGCACTAACTGCTCCACCACCACTCCCCACACACTAACAGACACACTCATAGATACACACACCAACACACACTAACACACACACTCAGACACACACTAACAGACACACTCATAGGTACACACACCAACAACAACAACCGCCATTCGCCACTAAGTGGCGGTGACGTCACCACGACGCTTGTGCCAGGCTATGTGCACCCTGAGGCCACGTGAAGTGTCGAACGCCCGCTGGCAGGTCACGGGGCAGACCCAGGTGCCACGGGTCGACTGAGATGACTGGCTGATGCACCGTCTGTGCCCCCTACAGTGCCAACCTGCTGTGCTTTAGCCACCCGGCGCTCCGCTCGTTGTTGTGAGCGTCGCTCCTCCGCCCTCCGTTCTTGTTGGAGGGCGACTACCTCCAACTGCCCAGTAGCATCCTTCACGAGCCTCCTCCACAGAGGCCGATCTTGACACCGCTGGTACCAGTCATCGGCAAGTCCACTCAGCTCCACGTCCTCCTGTACCACATCACTCCATCTCTTCTCTAGCCCGTGCCACGCCCGCTTAGCCCCCTCGATCTGGTCGAACAAAAGCTGTTTCGGCATGCGGTGGCTGGGCATGCGGGCTACATGACCCAGCCATCGCAGCCTTGCCTGCCGGAGCTCACCGATGGGACATTGCCTAGATCTTTTTTGAAGGATTTGTGAGCTCCTCACACAATCCAGCCTGGTTAAACCCAGGATGGATCGTAGGCAGGCTAGCCTAAATGTTTCTAACCGGCGAAGATGTTCCATTAGGGGGGTCCACGTTTCGCAAGTGTAGAGAAGGGAGGGAATGACCGTGGCCGAGAAGACCTGAAGCTTAGTGTGGAGCGACAGACCAGGTAGCTTCCACACAGCATTACGCAACCGATGAAAAGGTATTGCCACTCGACTGATTCAGAGTGAGACCTGTGCTGTTAAACTGGAGCCGGTCATAAGCACACTGCCCAGGTATGGGGAACTCTCCACTCTCTCCACAACTGCCCCATCACTGATTGGGAGTTGTGGGGGTGGAGTGTCTGATGGTACAAAATACCCAGGCAGGTGCTTAGTTTTGGTGGGGCTGATGGTAAGGCCCCACCTCTTAGTGGCACGCTCCAGTCTCAGCAGCAGCATCTCCCAACTCCTCCTCTGAATGAGCAGCTATTACCAAATCATCGGCATACATAACGTGGTTGAGCAATAGGGAACCATCCCTTGACCGCACCCAGGCAACGATCAGCCTCCCATTATATCTGTACAAAATGGAGATTCCCCCGGTACAGCTATTGAAGGCTTCACGAACTACGTGGTCAAAATAGATGTTAAATAATGTGGGAGCCAGAGAACATTCCTGTCGCACCGCAAGGTGTACAGGGAATGGCTCTGACTCCCGGCCACGTAGTTTTACCCGGGCCCGCTCACCATCATGAAGGGCCTTAATGATCGTGAGCAGAGGGTAAGGGACTCCAAAAGCACGAAGAACAACCCAGAGCCCAGGCCGACTGATGGTATCATAGGCCTTGACCAGGTCAATAAAGCAGAGGCGTAGGTCTTGTTGGAATTCCCTACACCTCTGCTGTAGCAGACGGACAGAAAATATGGCATCTGTGCAGGACCGCCCTTTCCTGAAACCGCATTGGGGCTCTGCAAGCCTCTCCTCAGTGTGCCTGGCAAGGCGATGTTGAATAATCATTGCCAGGACCTTTCCCGGCACACTTGAGGAGTGAGATGCCCCTGTAGTTCTTACAGTCTGTGCGGTCCCCCTTCTTAAAGAGAGGGACCACCAGGGCATCCTTCCAATCCTGCGGAACCCATCCAGTGGTTCACACTGTTGTTATGATGTCATATAGGGCAGTCTGTGCACAAACGCCTCCCTCCCTCAGCATTTTGCTTGGGAGATCATCTCTACCCGGTGCCTTTCCTGGTCTCAGACTCCGGATCGCCCTCAGTACTTCCTCAACAGATGGCACCTCAGCCACCCACTTCTTCCAATATTTGAGGTGACTTCTTCCAATATTTGAGGCACTGCAGCCTCAGCAGGGTCATCCCCACTTTGTGCCACGATGTTTTCCTGGCTGAGGGATTTCCCCTCCACCAGGACCTCACAGAAATGCTCAGCAAATCTGTAAACCTGTTCCTGGGGGTTGGAGATTGGATCACCGTTTTTTCCCCTAATGATGGTAATAGGTGTGGCACTGCAGGTTACTTTTTTGATGGAGTTAAATAGAGATTTGTGATCGCAGGCCACTGAGGCAGACTCCATCTACTCAGCAACCCGCGATCACCACCCATCCTTGCAGTGCCTCACGGCTCTCCGAACCTCCGAGCGAAAGCTGCGGTAAGCCTCCTCATTCTCTCACGTGGGATTCTGTAGTCGATGACAGTGGGCCTGTCACTTTTTCTCAACCATCCTGAACACCTCCTCTGTCAGCCAGGGTCTCTGGGGAGGTCTGGACCGCGTACCCAAAGCAGCCATTGCAGCTGCATGAGTCACAGTCCTAAACCACGCCCATTTACCCTCGACATTAGGAGTGGGGGACGATGCCAACCCCAGCCGCACGCGATGATGAAATTCTCACTTGCAACTTTCATCAGATAACTGAGACCAGGCCACTTTAGGTTGGAATGGGGTCCTGAGTGTACACCCACCACCGGAGTGGAAGAATGGCAGGGGCATCTTACAGATGACAAGCCGATGGTCAGAGGGCCGATCAGCTCCACGGTAGGTCCTGGTGTCAAGGACATGGGCTCGCATCCGCTGGTCCGTCACTATGTAGTCCAGCAGATGTTCTTGCTTGGACCCAGCATGCATTCATGTGTGGATGCGCCGATGCCGGAACAGCGTGTTAGTAATTGCAAGCCCATGGGCTGCACATACATACCAACACACACTAACAGACACACCAACACACACACTAACAGACAAACACACAAACACACACACTAACAGACAAAAAAACAAAGCTCCCCCATATAGCCTTAACAAACTGTAGGGGCAAGTGCTGTTAGCGAGCACCTATGAAGGCCGGAACGGTACACGAGGGGGTGGGTGGCCAGCACCACGCCCGACCGCCTTTGTCTCCCTAGTGCCAATGTTTACACACCGCACCAGGTACTTATTTGAGGCTGAGTCGACCTAGGGGAGGCCCGGGACCGGTTCAGATAATCGTCACTGGTGTTGGCCGTGAGCGGGAATCGAACCCGGGTCGCCAGGTTCATAGCGCAGCGCGCTAACCGCTACACTATCGCTCCAACACACACACTAACACACACCAACACACACACTAACAGACACACACACTAACAGACACACACACTAACAGACACACACCAACACACACACTAACAGACACTCACAGACACACCAACACACACACTAACAGACACTCACAGACACACCAACACACACTAACAGACACACACACTAACAGACACTCACAGACACACCAACACACACACTAGCAGACACACACCAACACACACACTAGCAGACACACACCAACACACACACTAACAGACACACACCAACACACACACTAACAGACACACACACTAACAGACACACACTAACAGACACACACTAACAGACACTCACACACACACTAACAGACACACACACTAACAGACACACACACTAACAGACACACTGACACACTAACAGACACTGACACACACACTAACAGACACACACACTAACAGACACACAGGTCCCCCGTGTAGGCCCAAGTGCTGTTTGCGAGCACCATGGAAGGAGGACTGGCGCACACGGCAGCAGCACGAGATGGCTGCGTGTGGCCAGCACCACGCCACTCAATGCCTACACCCGGCACAGGGTCCACTCAGACGCCACGTGCGGTGCGGGGATCGGAGGGGAACCAAGACCGAGAATTGAGGGGTGGAGGGGCCGAGGGGAGGGGCGGAATCTCGCAGCAACCTCCGCTGTGGAGTTGCCGCGCCCCGCGTCTCTCCCCCCCACGTCTCCCCCCCCCCCCCCCCACGTCTCCCCCCCCCCCACTCTCCCCACGTCTCTCCCCACTCTCTCGACGTCTCCCCCCACGTCTCCCCCCCACTCTCCCCGTCTCCCCCCACTCTCTCCCTCCACTCTCCCCACGTCTCTCCCCCCACTCTCCCCACTCTCTCCCCCCACGTCTCCCCCCCCCCACTCTCTCCACGTCTCTCCCCCAAGTCTCCCCCCACTCTCCCCCCACTCTCTCCACGTCTCCCCCCCCACCTCTCTCCACGTCTCCCCCCACCACTCTCCACGTCTCCCCCCACTCTCTCCCCCCACGTCTCCTCCCCCCCACTCTCCCCACGTCTCCCCCCACTCTCCCCCCACCTCTCTCCCCCACTCTCCCCACGTCTCTCCCCACACGTCTCTCCCCACTCTCTCCCCCCAACGTCTCCCCCCCCCCCACTCTCATCCACGTCTCTCCCCCCCACTCTCCCCCCACTCTCTCCACGTCTCCCCCCACTCTCTCCACGTCTCCCCCCCACTCTCTCCCCACTCTCCCCCCACTCTCTCCCCACTCTCTCCACGTCGCCCCCCACTCTCTCTCCCCACTCTCTCCACGTCCTCCCCCCCCACTCCCCCCTCTCTCTCCACGTCGCCCCCCACTCTCTCCCCACTCCCCCCACGTCTCTCCCCACTCTCTCTCGCCCACGTCTCCCCCCACGTCTCCCCCCCACTCTCCCCGTCTCCCCCACTCTCTCCCTCCACTCTCCCCACGTCTCTCCCCCCACTCTCCCCACTCTCTCCCCCCACGTCTCCCCCCCCCCACTCTCTCCACGTCTCTCCCCCCAAGTCTCCCCCCACTCTCCCCCCACTCTCTCCACGTCTCCCCCCCCACTCTCTCCACGTCTCCCCCCCCACTCTCCACGTCTCCCCCCACTCTCTCCACGTCTCCCCCACGTCTCCCCCCCACTCTCTCCACGTCTCTCCCCCCACTCTCCCCACGTCTCTCCCCCCACTCTCTCCACGTCTCTCCCCCCACTCTCTCCACGTCTCTCCCCCACTCTCTCCACGTCTCTCCCCCACTCTCCCCACGTCTCCCCCCACTCTCTCCCCCACGTCCTCTCCCCCCACTCTCCCCACGTCTCCCCCCACTCTCCCCCCACGTCTCTCCCCCCACTCTCCCCACGTCTCTCCCCACACGTCTCTCCCCACTCTCTCCCCCCACGTCTCCCCCCCCCCCACTCTCTCCACGTCTCTCCCCCAAGTCTCCCCCCACTCTCCCCCCACTCTCTCCACGTCTCCCCCACTCTCTCCACGTCTCCCCCCCACTCTCTCCCCACTCTCCCCCCACTCTCTCCCCACTCTCTCCACGTCGCCCCCCACTCTCTCTCCCCACTCTCTCCACGTCTCCCCCCCCACTCCCCCCTCTCTCTCCACGTCGCCCCCCACTCTCTCCCCACTCCCCCCACGTCTCTCCCCACTCTCTCTCCCCACTCTCTCTCCCCACGTCTCCCCCCACTCTCTCTCCCCACTCTCCCCACGTCTCCCCCCACTCTCTCTCCCCACTCTCCCCACGTCTCCCCCCACTCTCTCTCCCCACGTCTCCCCCCACTCTCTCTCCCCACTCTCTCTCCCCCACTCTCCCCACGTCTCCCCCCACTCTCTCTCCCCACGTCTCCCCCCACTCTCTCTCCCCACGTCTCTCCCCACTCTCCCCACGTCTCCCCCACTCTCTCTCCCCACTCTCTCCACGTCTCCCCCCACTCTCCCCACGTCTCCCCCCACTCTCCCCCCACGTCTCCCCCCACGTCTCCCCCCACTCTCTCCACGTCTCCCCCACTCTCTCCACGTCTCCCCCCACTCTCTCCACGTCTCCCCCCACTCTCTCCACGTCTCCCCCCACTCTCTCCCCACTCCCCCCACGTCTCTCCCCACTCTCTCTCCCCACTCTCTCTCCCCACGTCTCCCCCCACTCTCTCTCCCCACTCTCCCCACGTCTCCCCCCACTCTCTCTCCCCACTCTCTCCACGTCTCCCCCCACTCTCTCTCCCCACTCTCCCCACGTCTCCCCCCACTCTCTCTCCCCACTCTCTCTCCCCACTCTCCCCACGTCTCCCCCCAACTCTCTCCCCCCACTCTCTCTCCCCACGTCTCTCCCCACTCTCCCCACGTCTCCCCCCACTCTCTCTCCCCACTCTCTCCACGTCTCCCCCCACTCTCCCCACGTCTCCCCCCACTCTCCCCCCACGTCTCCCCCCACGTCTCCCCCCCACTCTCTCCACGTCTCCCCCCACTCTCTCCACGTCTCCCCCCACTCTCTCCACGTCTCCCCCCACTCTCCCCCACGTCTCCCCCACGTCTCCCCCCACTCTCTCCACGTCTCCCCCCACTCTCTCCACGTCTCCCCCCACTCTCTCCACGTCTCCCCCCACTCTCTCCACGTCTCCCCCCACGTCTCCCCCCACTCTCTTCCAAGCGGGCTTCGAGGTGCCGCGCGCTCCGCTGCCTACCTCAGTGACGTCATCTGAGCGAATGCCACAACTTCCGGTCCCGTCGGCACTTGCGAGAGATGGGGGGGTCTGTTTTCCGGTGACGTCATCAGCACATTCTGGGGTTGCGATGGGGGGAGGGTTGATGACGTCATTGTGACGACTTTGACGTAGGGAAGCGTTCGGAGGCTATGACGTCATCAGTGGTGCATCTTCACTCTTGAAGAAAACGATGACGATTGAGATTGTAACGCTCTGCTACTGGACACTTGTGAAAAAGAGCTTCATAGCTCATCGGATTCCTCCGGTCTCAATATAGATTCAAATTTGAGCAAACTGCCCAAGCTCTGCGTTCCCCTCCTAAGATGTTTTCAGCCAATTAGTGCTTACGTGGAGGAAAACCCACGTCCAGTTTACCATGAAATTTCAGTTTACCGTGGAAGTCGTTTACCATCGGAGTCCAGATTACCATGAATATTTAAGTTTACCATGGAAGTCCAGTTTAACGTAAAAGACAAGTTTACCATGGGAGTCCAGTTTACTATGAAAGTCAAGTTTACCATGGGAGTCCAGTTTATCATCGGAGTCCAGATTACCATCAAAGTCCGGTTTACCATGGGAGTCCATTTACCATAAAAATCCAGTTTACCATGAATGTATAGTTTACCGTGGGAGTCCAGTTACCGTGGGAGTCCAGTTCACCATGAAAGTCCAGTTCACCATGAAAGTCCAGTTTACCATGGGCGTCCAGTTTACAATTAAAGTCCAGTTCACCATGGGAGTCCAGTTCACCATGAAAGTCCAGTTTACCATGGGACTCCAGTTTACCATGAAAATCCAGTTCACCACGAAAGTCCAGTTCACCATGAAAGTCCAGTTTACCATGAAAGTCCAGTTTACCATGAAAGTCCAGTTTACCATGGGACTCCAGTTCACCACGAAAGTCCAGTTTACCATGAAAGTCCAGTTCACCATGGGAGTCCAGTTCACTATGAAAGTCCAGTTCACCATGGGAGTCCAGTTCACCATGGGAGTCCAGTTCACCATGAAAGTCCACTTTACCATGAAAGTCCAGTTTACTATGAAAGTCCAGTTCACCATGGGAGTCCAGTTTACCATGAAAGTCCAGTTCACCATGGGAGTCCAGTTCACCATGGGAGTCCAGTTCACCATGGGAGTCCAGTTTACCATGAAAGTCCAGTTCACCATGGGAGTCCAGTTTACCATGAAAGTCCAGTTTACCATGAAAGTCCAGTTCACCACGAAAGTCCAGTTCACCACGAAAGTCCAGTTCACCATGGGAGTCCAGTTTACCATGAAAGTCCAGTTTACCATGAAAGTCCAGTTCACCATGGGAGTCCAGTTCACCATGAAAGTCCAGTTCACCATGAAAGTCCAGTTCACCATGGGAGTCCACTTCACCATGGGAGCCCACTTTACCATGGGAGTCCAGTTCACCATGGGAGTCCACTTCACCATGGGCAAGGGGTTTGGCAACCTGCAGTTCCGAGGCTGCTGCATGCGGCGCGCTGAGCAGCTCTCTGGGTTATTTATTTATTAAGCCGCCACCACCGCCACCGTCTCGCACTCACAGGCGCAGCATGGCGGCTCAAGGCTTATCGAGTCATATTCTTAGTTTTTTCGGTAAAGTCACGTTGAAGAGAAACAACAAAATATATATAGAACAAAAAATTCTCACATTTCGACCATAACTCAAACGGTCATCATCAGTGTGTTGGTTTGCATAAATTTATTTGTAAAACGGCACATTTATTTATTTATAAAAATAACGTTGGCGTCACGCGCAGCGATTGGCAGTTTGCCCAGGACTAGTCCATCTATTTTTTGAAAAGAGGAGGGGGGAGACGAAATTTTTTATAATGTATGCTGTCTGAAAGCCACTGTAAGCGTGAACAATCAATCAAGAACTGAAATGATTTATCAAATCTTTCCAATGATTGCTAAGATAGAATCCATCTTCTCGGTTGAAATTGTCTCTGTGCTTGTATATGTGGATAGCCTCATGAACGAATCTCTCATGGAAGCCAGATGGCTTACAAAGAACCTCCGTCTTGGAAAAGTCAATGGCATGTGAGCCTACTGAATTAGAACAATGATCTGCTACGGCCGAGGTGTTGGTCCTACCGTGTTTAAGGTCTGCTTTATGTTCACGAATGCGGTCCGAGACATGGCGTTTGGTTTCTCCAATGTAACTACTACCACAGAGGCAACTTAGTTTGTAGACACCAGGGTATTGTATGTCCGGAATCACATCTTTTACAGACGGAACCAGATCACGGATTTTATGTAATGTGTTGAAACGGACCTGGATCTTGTGTTTATTCAAGATTTTGGAGATCTTTTTTGTGATCCCAGCAATGTAGGGTAAAGTGATGGTTTTGAAAGGCTCCTCAAGAGGGTTCTTCTTCATGGTTTGAGTGATAGCTTTGCGGATTGTATAGTCGGAGTAACCATTAGCCCTAAGAGCTTGGTGTACGTGCTTGAGTTCACTGCTTATGTGTTCCTGGTCGGATATGCATTGGGCTCAAGCACGTACACCAAGCTCTTAGGGCTAATGGTTACTCCGACTATACAATCCGCAAAGCTATCACTCAAACCATGAAGAAGAACCCTCTTGAGGAGCCTTTCAAAACCATCACTTTACCCTACATTGCTGGGATCACAAAAAAGATCTCCAAAATCTTGAATAAACACAAGATCCAGGTCCGTTTCAACACATTACATAAAATCCGTGATCTGGTTCCGTCTGTAAAAGATGTGATTCCGGACATACAATACCCTGGTGTCTACAAACTAAGTTGCCTCTGTGGTAGTAGTTACATTGGAGAAACCAAACGCCATGTCTCGGACCGCATTCGTGAACATAAAGCAGACCTTAAACACGGTAGGACCAACACCTCGGCCGTAGCAGATCATTGTTCTAATTCAGTAGGCTCACATGCCATTGACTTTTCCAAGACAGAGGTTCTTTGTAAGCCATGTGGCTTCCATGAGAGATTCGTTCATGAGGCTATCCACATATACAAGCACAGAGACAATTTCAACCGAGAAGATGGATTCTATCTTAGCAATCATTGGAAAGATTTGATAAATCATTTCAATTCTTGATTGATTGTTCACGCTTACAGTGGCTTTCAGACAGCATACATTATAAAAAATTTCGTCTCCCCCCTCCTCTTTTAAAAAAAATAGATGGACTAGTCCTGGGCAAACTGCCAATCGCTGCGCGTGACGCTAACGTTTTTTTTATAAATAAATAAATGTGCCGTTTTAAAAATAAATTTATGCAAACCAACACACCTGATGATGACCGTTTGAGTTATGGTCGAAACGTCGTGAGAATTTTTTATTGTTTTATATATATTTTGTTGTTTCTCTTCAACGTGACTTTACCGAAAAAACTAAGAATATGAATTACTGCAGTCACGAAAGCTTTAAATCAAAAGCTTATCGAGTCGTTGACGTCTCCCCCCTTGCTGTTGCGTTGGCTGCTGAGCCCTGCGCCGGCTGTACCCCACCGAGCGACGGCCCACAAATCAGCTTCCTGCCGCTCCACACCGAGGCCTCGCTGGCCCTGCTCCTGCTTACAGCCCTGCGGGGCGCAGTGGGAAGGGGGGTGGGGGAGGTGGGCCGAGTGGCTCCCCCCAACCAGTGCTTGAACTCTCGACCCTTCCCGTCGTGATCCGCTCACTCCATCGCCCGACCCCTGGGGACAGAGCGACGACCAACAGGCGGAGCACGCCGCACGGTGAACAACGCAACGGATAAACTTTATTGAACGAAACAATGTCCGGGTGGCCCCCTCTCGCCCTCAACGGCCTGTTGACAGTTCTCCCGAGCCCCTGGTGGAAATTACACGTTCCTGTGGCGGGTGGCGTGTGGACCGTCACGTTGAGCCTTTTTGTGGATTTGGGAGGCGTTCATCCAGCCGTGGATTGAGCGTGGCGACGGCGGCGTGGTTGGTGGCGGCAACAATCACGGCAAGAAGGGCCTGGGTTCGATCCCGGGTGGGGCGCCTCTCTGCGTGGTGGTTATTCTCACAAATCGGTTTATACTCTGCGTGTGTTCCTCCGGGTGCCCGCGTGCCACAGAGAGCACGTGGCAGGAACCTCCTGAGAACGAGTCCTGATACTCGGCGAGGCTGAGTGGATGAGCGGAGTCGTCGTCGTCATGGCGATGACGAGTGGGTGGGGCTGGGTGAGCGGAGTCGTCGTCATGGCGATGACGAGTGAGTGAGGCTGGGTGAGCGGAGTCGTCGTCATGGCGATGACGAGTGAGTGGGGCTGGGTGAGCGGAGTCCGTCGTCATGGCGATGACGAGTGAGTGGGGCCTGGGTGAGCGGAGTCGTTGTCATGGCGATGACGAGTGAGTGAGGCTGGGTGAGCGGAGTCGTCGTCGTCATGGCGATGATGATGACGAGTGAGTGGGGCTGGGTGAGCGGAGTCGTCGTCATGGCGATGACGAGTGAGTGGGGCTGGGTGAGCGGAGTCGTCGTCATGGCGATGACGAGTGAGTGGGGCTGGGTGAACGGAGTCGTCGTCATGGCGATGACGAGTGAGTGAGGCTGGGTGAACGGAGTCGTCGTCATGGCGATGACGAGTGGGGCTGGGTGAGCGGAGTCGTCGTCATGGCGATGACGAGTGGGGCTGGGTGAGCGGAGTCCGTCGTCATGGCGATGACGAGTGAGTGGGGCTGGGTGAGCGGAGTCGTCGTCATGGCGATGGCGAGTGAGTGGGGCTGGGTGAGCGGAGTCGTCGTCGTCACGGCGATGATGCGGGGGGGGGGGGGGGGGGGGGGGGGAGGACCGCGTGTGCTGGCGTCTCGCGCAGTACGTAGTTTATGACTTTGGAGGAGGATGATGGGTTCGAGTTGAATGAGGGGTGAGCGACGGGTGAGTTGAGTGTGGGGTGAGTTGAGTGTGGGGTGAGTTGAGTGTGTGGTGAGTTGAGTGTGGGGTGAGTTGAGTGTGGGGTGAGTTGAGTGTGGGGTGAGTTGAGTGTGGGGTGAGTTGAGTGCGGGGTGAGTTGAGTGTGGGGTGAGTTGAGTGTGGGGTGAGTTGAGTGTGGGGTGAGTTGAGTGTGTGGTGAGTTGAGTGTGGGGTGAGTTGAGTGTGGGGTGAGTTGAGTGTGGGGTGAGTTGAGTGTGGGGTGAGTTGAGTGTGGGGTGAGTTGAGTGTGGGGTGAGTTGAGTGTGGGTGAGTTGAGTGTGGGGTGAGTTGAGTGTGGGGTGAGTTGAGTGTGGGGTGAGTGGAGTGTGGGGTGAGTTGAGTGTGGGGTGAGTGGAGTGTGGGGTGAGTGGAGTGTGGGGTGAGTGGAGTGTGGGGTGAGTGGAGTGTGGGGTGAGTTGAGTGTGGGGTGAGTTGAGTGTGGGGTGAGTTGAGTGTGGGGTGAGTTGAGTGTGGGGTGAGTTGAGTGCGGGGTGAGTGGAGTGCGGGGTGAGTTGAGTGCGGGGTGAGTTGAGTGTGGGGTGAGTTGAGTGTGGGGTGAGTTGAGTGTGGGGTGAGTTGAGTGCGGGGTGAGTGGAGTGTGGGGTGAGTTGAGTGTGGGGTGAGTTGAGTGTGTGGCGAGTTGAGTGTGGGGTGAGTTGAGTGTGGGGTGAGTTGAGTGTGGGGTGAGTTGAGTGTGGGGTGAGTTGAGTGTGGGGTGAGTGGAGTGCGACCTGGAATTGACTGTGACTTTACCGAATAAAACCAAAGAGTATGGATCCTTGCAGTCACGAAAGCTTCAAATCTAGAAGTGCGAGTCAGATTGAATGTCATTGCTGAGAATGTGGCTGGTGCGTTTGGTGAGGCGAGTGAGACTGGTGGCGTGAGAGGTGAGCGGCGTCCCCGGTGAGCGTGGCGCTCACAGCATGCGCTCAAGTGCCAGGGTGATCCGGTTGCGTGCCAGCTCCATGTGGTGGACCCGGACCTCCACGCGGTCGCCGGGGCCCAGCAGGAAGCTACTGCGGCGGTCAGCACCCCCCTGACCTGCCAGACGACAACAGCACCCCACACGACTCAGCACGACATACTCACCACACCACCCTCACCATACTCACCACGACATACCACACAACCCTCACCACACTCACCACGACATACTCACCACGACATACTCACCACACCACCCTCACCACACTCACCACGACATACTCACCACACCACCCTCACCATACTCACCACGACATACTCACCACACCACCCTCACCATACTCACCACGACATACTCACCACACCACCCTCACCACACTCACCACGACATACTCACCACACCACCCTGACTATACTCACCCTGCCACACTCACCACACCACCCTCACCATACTCACCCTGCCACACTCACCACACCACCCTGACCATACTCGACATGCCACAATCACCACACCACCCTCACCATCTTGGGCTCTCCTGTGGTGAGATCTCCTTGGCCTGGTCTACAGGAGGTCGTGGGGTCGATCCCATCCCTGACGCCTGCTGCTGCTGCTGCTGTATATGTGTAGAGTTGCGTCTCTCTCTCTCTATCCCCCCGTCGTGTCGATTTTTGTCCGGATCCCTCCGGTTTGCCCCTCCACAGTTAGAATCGACGTCATGGGATGAGATGATTTCCGCTGCTGTAAAATTTGCCCACGATTATAAGCCACTTCGTTGGGCTATCATTTGTAATGGCCAGTTCGCTTCTGAATAAAGAGCGTACACAGCTCAATGGGGCCATAACTGGTGTAAAATGATCTTCTTCGGCTGATGTAGATGCAAAGACGACAATAACAACTACCACACCGTCATTCAGGTGGTCAAGCCAGCAGATAGCCGCATCAGCAGGAGCAGTAACGGAGTAGTGCATCGTCGCTGTGATGATGTCTCCTCCTTAATATTTGTGGATCGGGGCATTGCCCATAGACTAACACTGCACAAAGATGGACTCACATTGCCCACAGACTAACTCTGCACAAAGATGGACTCACATTGCCCACAGACTAACACTGCACAAAGATGGACTCACATTGCCCACAGACTAACACTGCACAAAGATGGACTCACATTGCCCATAGACTACCAATGCACAAAGATGGACTCACATTGCCCATAGACTAACACTGCACAAAGATGGACTCACATTGCCCACAGACTAACACTGCACAAAGATGGACTCACATTGCCCATAGACTAACACTGCACAAAGATGGACTCACATTGCCTATAGACTAACACTGCACAAAGATGGACTCACATTGCCCATAGACTAACACTGCACAAAGATGGACTCACATTTCCCACAGACTAACACTGCACAAAGATGGACTCACATTGCCCATAGACTAACACTGCACAAAGATGGACTCACATTGCCCATAGACTAACACTGCACAAAGATGGACTCACATTGCCCACAGACTAACACTGCACAAAGATGGACTCACATTGCCCACAGACTAACACTGCACAAAGATGGACTCACATTGCCCACAGACTAACACTGCACAAAGATGGACTCACATTGCCCACAGACTAACACTGCACAAAGATGGACTCACATTTCCCTCCCATTGCCTTCTTCTCGTTGTCGTACGGCTGATGTAGATGCAGAGACAACTACAATGTCACATTCAGGTTGTCAAGCCAGCAAGAGGAGTAGTGGAGTAGTAGTAGTAGTGCATCATCGCTGTGATGATGTCTCCTCCGTAGTGCTCATGGCTCAGGCATCATTTCGGCGTTACACTTTGTACGGTCTGGATGACCACAGTCACACATCTACTGCAGTGTGGACTTGTGCATCATCAGCTATCATCCGCCATGTACTACTGCTGCCATGGTTTGTGCAGTGGATGATTTTAGTATTAGTTTGATTCACGATTCCGTTCGAGGATCGGGGAGGCAAGGCATCGGCAAAGCCTCGCTGGCTCCGAGCCATCGTCACTGCCGCTCCACGACACAGAATCATCCGCGGCTGGATCTCTGCCGTGCTGCTGCTGTCTCATCGTGAGTGAGACCACCCGGACTCTACTACCACTGTCGCATTGTGGGTGAGACCACCCGGACTCTACTACCACTGTCTCATCATGAGTGAGACCACCCGGACTCTACTACCACTGTCTCATGGTGGGTGAGACCACCCGGACTCTACTACCACTGTCTCATCGTGAGTGAGACCACCCGGACTCTACTACCACTGTCTCATTGTGGGTGAGACCACCCGGACTCTACTACCACTGTCTCATCGTGAGTGAGATCACCCAGACTCTACTACCACTGTCTCATTGTGGGTGAGACCACCCGGACTCTACTACCACTGTCTCATCGTGAGACCACCCGGACTCTACTACCCTGTCTCATCGTGAGTGAGACCACCCGGACTCTACTACCACTGTCTCATGGTGGGTGAGACCACCCGGACTCTACTACCACTGTCTCATGGTGGGTGAGACCACCCGGACTCTACTACCACTGTCTCATCGTGGGTGAGACCACCCGGACTCTACTACCCTGTCTCATCGTGGGTGAGAGTACCCGTGTCACTACTACCACTGTCTCATGGTGGGTGAGACCACCTGGACTCTACTACCCTGTCTCATCGAAGGTGAGACCACCCAGACTCTACTACCACTGTCTCATCGTGAGTGAGAGCACCCGGACTCTACTACCACTGTCTCATGGTGGGTGAGACCACCCGGACTCTACTACCCTGTCTCATCGTGAGAGTACCCGTGTCACTACTACCACTGTCTCATGGTGGGTGAGACCACCCAGACTCTACTACCACTGTCTCATGGTGGGTGAGACCACCCGGACTCTACTACCCTGTGTCATGGTGAGTGAGACCACCCGTGTCACTACTACCACTGTCTCATGGTGGGTGAGACCACCCGGACTCTACTACCCTGTCTCATCGTGGGTGAGGCCACCCAGACTCTACTACCACTGTCTCATTGTGGGTGAGACCACCCGGACTCTACTACCACTGTCTCATGGTGGGTGAGACCACCTGGACTCTACTAAAATACAGCACCACATCTGCTGCATTAGACTCTTTGAATCAAATTTACAATAGCCTTGATAATAAGCAGTACTGGGCCTGTCTTTTTCTTGACCTGTCCAAAGCTTTTGATACATTTGACCACAACACCCTGCTTAGTAAACTAAGTTGCCTCGGTTTTTCCGAGAACACAGTACAATGGTTAAAAAATTACCTCTTTTCTCGCACCCAAACTGTATTCACAGATGGTTGGAGGTCAAACAGTGTTAAGATAACAAAAGGGGTTCCACAGGGTTCCATCCTCGGCCCCCTCTTGTTCTCTCTTTATGTCAATGACTTGGGCACTGAACTGGATCATTCCAGGGTAAATCTTTTTGCAGATGACACGATACTGATTACTGCTGGCCGCTCTCCGGATGACGTGATTGCTAAGCTCCAGGGTGATTTCAACAAAATACAACATCAGCTAGTTTCTATTAAACTAGTCCTGAATACCTCCAAAACCAAGGTGCTATGCTTCTCTCCGGGACTAAAGCAGGAAGTTATTTTTCCCCAATTACATTCCTTGAATAATTATCAAATAGAGCAAGTCAAGATCTATAAGTATCTTGGGGTCATCCTGGATTCAAAACTTAGTTTTGAAGATCACATTGATTATATTGGTAAAAAGACAAAAATAAAAATTGGTTTTCTGTATCGACACAAGCACTGCTTCCCCCCAATGTTCCGTTTGGAATTGATAAAAGCTACCATACTGCCTCTACTTGACTACTGTGACATCGTGTATAAATCAGCCCCAAGTACTGTACTGAAGAAGCTTGATCCCATCTATCACTCGGCCTTAAGATTTGCATTGAACTGCCCATATAGGACTCACCACTGTGATCTCTACACTGGGTCAAACTTAACATCTCTTAATGTTCGACGGCTTGTGCACCAGATCTTATTTATTCACGATGTACTTACAAAAAATTCCGCAGACTACCTACTGGATCTCCTCTCTGTTTCAAAGAACAAATTTGACCTTAGGTCTTCGCTTATTTACCAGCTTCACATTCCCTATTGCCGTACAAAAACTGGAGGAAGGGCCTTTGCTATGATGCCCCCAGGGTCTGGAATGCTATTGCCAATAAACTGCAACTTGAATCACTACCTATGAGATCTTCACTCAAAACTGCTCTAGAGGAGTTGTACAACCCTAGCTGCCACTGCTATTCAGTGGCCTAAAATATGGCTCTAGATTTTGGTGTTATAATTTATTTATGTAGTTTATTGTTAATAATTCGGTCACAGTCCCTATGATCACTGTTACATTGGATTTATGGCTTTTATTTTGGTGATTTCAAAAAGTTTTTTTGTTTTGGGCATGTTTTTGTTTATTGTAGTACGGAGTTAGACTGATGGCTTTAATCTAAGTTTTCTTGTTGTTATTTGACTTGCATCCCACTGGGATTTTTGCACACAGCGTTGGTGTACGGTGCTATTTCAGGAATATTTTGATGTTTTTTCCCTGTATTTTCTGTTTGCACAGTCACATAATCACTTTAAGATGTTTTCTTGTTCATGTTTTTTGTTTGTTGCGGTTGTACCCGATTCAAGAGCCGAATGGCTCACAGGGCTATACCAAATAAATGAACTATGAACTATGAACTACTATCACTGTCTCATTGTGGGTGAGACCACCTGGACTCTACTACCACTGTCTCATCGTGGGGGAGAGTACCCGTGTCGCTACTACCCTGTCTCATCGTGGGGAGAGTACCCATGTCGCTACTACCCTGTCTCATCGTGGGGGAGAGTACCCGTGTCGCTACTACCCTGTCTCATCGTGGCGGAGAGTACCCGTGTCGCTACTACCCTGTCTCATCGTGGCGGAGAGTACCCGTGTCGCTACTACCCTGTCTCATCGTGGGTGAGAGTACCCGTGTTGCTACTACCCTGTCTCATCGTGGGGAGAGTACCCGTGTCGCTACTACCCTGTCTCATCGTGGGGAGACTACCCATGTCGCTACTACCCTGTCTCATCGTGGGGAGACTACCCGTGTCGCTACTACCCTGTCTCATCGTGAGGAGAGTACCCGTGTCGCTACTACCCTGTCTCATCGTGGGGGAGAGTACCCGTGTCGCTACTACCCTGTCTCATCGTGGGGGAGAGTACCCGTGTCGCTACTACCCTGTCTCATCGTGGGTGAGAGTACCCGTGTCGCTACTACCCTGTCTCATCGTGGGGAGAGTACCCGTGTCGCTACTACCCTGTCTCATCGTGGGTGAGAGTACCCGTGTCGCTACTACCCTGTCTCATCGTGGGTGAGAGTACCCGTGTCGCTACTACCCTGTCTCATAGTGGGGAGAGTACCCGTGTCGCTACTACCCTGTCTCATCGTGGGTGAGAGTACCCGTGTCGCTACTACCCTGTCTCATCGTGGGTGAGAGTACCCGTGTCGCTACTACCCTGTCTCATCGTGGGTGAGAGTACCCGTGTCGCTACTACCCTGTCTCATCGTGGGTGAGAGTACCCGTGTCGCTACTACCCTGTCTCATCGTGGGTGAGAGTACCCGTGTCGCTACTACCCTGTCTCATCGTGGGTGAGAGTACCCGTGTCGCTACTACCCTGTCTCATCGTGGGTGAGAGTACCCGTGTCGCTACTACCCTGTCTCATCGTGGGGAGAGTACCCGTGTCGCTACTACCCTGTCTCATCGTGGGTGAGAGTACCCGTGTCGCTACTACCCTGTCTCATCGTGGGGGAGAGTACCCGTGTCGCTACTACCCTGTCTCATCGTGGGTGAGAGTACCCGTGTCGCTACTACCCTGTCTCATCGTGGGGAGAGTACCCGTGTCGCTACTACCCTGTCTCATCGTGGGGAGAGTACCCGTGTCACTACTACCCTGTCTCATCGTGGGTGAGAGTACCCGTGTCGCTACTACCCTGTCTCATCGTGGGTGAGAGTACCCGTGTCGCTACTACCCTGTCTCATCGTGGGTGAGAGTACCCGTGTCGCTACTACCCTGTCTCATCGTGGGTGAGAGTACCCGTGTCGCTACTACCCTGTCTCATCGTGGGGAGAGTACCCGTGTCGCTACTACCCTGTCTCATCGTGGGTGAGAGTACCCGTGTCGCTACTACCCTGTCTCATCGTGGGTGAGAGTACCCGTGTCGCTACTACCCTGTCTCATCGTGGGGGACAGTACCCGTGTCGCTACTACCCTGTCTCATCGTGGGGGAGAGTACCCGTGTCGCTACTACCACTGCTGCGCCCGATATATTTGTTGTCTCCCGCGCACCCCTGATTATAGCCCAGTTCACCATGTACGGCGCGAAAGAAGTTCAACGTACATCCACACGTACAATTCAGAGCTCAGCATTCAGGGCGATTGATGATCCAGCACTCCCCAGTTCACTCCGTCCACTCGCTCGTCCGCTCGCCGGTGGCAGGTCGTCTCTTCGTTACTCTGCCATCGCTACCACTGCCACGATTACTACTGGTGTCGTGAGATGTCGAAGGCTCTTTGCTGGCAGGGTGAAGTCACGGGACAGACCCAGCAGGTGCCGTGGGTTGACCGACTGAGATGACCGGCAGATGAACCACCTGTGCTCCCCTGCCGTGCCAACCCGCTGCATTTTACCACACCACCCTCACCACACTCACCACGACACCACCCTCACCACACACGTGCACACATACACACGCACACATGGACACACAAGCACACACACACACGGACACGCACAGGCAAGCGCACATGCATGCACAAGTGCGTGCGTTCCACAGACACTGTGCGTGCGTGCGACCCGCCTGTTGGGAGCGAGTTCTGCGCAGTGATGAACCTCTTGGGAATGAGGGCTTTCTGGCCCACGCCGATATCTACGAAGGCACCAAAGTCGGTGTAGCTGACGACGCGGCCCTGCAGCGACATCCCCACGTGGAGCTCCTCGAGCGTCATCACCGTGCGCCGGAAGATCGGCTTCTGCAGCTCTGACGCGGGGACAACACGACCGGCCGCGGGGGGTGGGGGTGGTGATATACGGGGGGGAGACACGGAGGGAGACACGGGGTGAGATACGGGGTGAGATACGGGGTGAGACACGGGGTGAGATACGGGGTGAGACACGGGGTGAGATACGGGGTGAGACACGGGGTGAGACACGGGGTGAGACACGGGGTGAGACACGGAGGGAGACACGGGGTGAGACACGGGGTGAGACACGGGGTGAGATATGGGGTGAGACACGGGGTGAGACACGGGGTGAGATACGGGGTGAGACACGGGGTGAGATATGGGGTGAGACACGGGGTGAGATATGGGGTGAGACACGGGGTGAGATACGGGGTGAGACACGGGGTGAGACACGGGGTGAGACACGGGGTGAGACACGGGGTGAGACACGGGGTGAGACACGGGGTGAGACACGGGGTGAGATATGGGGTGAGACACGGGGTGAGACACGGGGTGAGATACGGGGTGAGACACGGGGATACAGGGAGACACAAGGGAGCTACGGGGATACAGGGGAGAGAATGTGAGTGGATGCGAGCGAGCGAGCACCGGCACGGATGTCGTGGTCGTGAGGCTGCTTGAGTCCGTCCAGCACAATCTGCAGCGTGGGCACCGTGGTGCCCACTGCCTGCGCCAGCGCCTCCACGGAGCCATGCTGGGCCAGCGCCGCCTCCACGCGGCGCCGCAGCTCCGGCCGCCCCACCTGGCGCCACGCACACAAAGACAAAGCTCCCCGCTGGACCCTTCACGCGCCGTCGGCCAGCGGCAGCGGAGGCCGGGCACCTTCGTCCGCCCAGATGGCGACGTTTACGCGCCATCTGGGTCGCTGGTACACAGCCGGTGGTCTGGGCAGGGCCGAGAGCTTTCGTACACGCAGCGAGCGCACGCTGGGAGCGTCGATAAATCAACCGCCCCATTGGTCCCCCAAGTCCCCACCTCCCCGCCCCGAGGCCCCCCCCCCCGCCCCGATCCCCCCAAGCCTTGCACCATCACCCCCCCAAGCCCCCCACCTGCTCGGCGGAGCCCCCGATGAGGCGCAGGAGGCGATGGGCGATGGCGTACGACTCCGGGTGGATCCACGTGCGGTCCAGGGGGTTGGCGACTTCCTCCTCCTCCCCCTCCTCGGGGCCCCCTCCCTGCCTGGTGCGCTTCTTCCGGCCGGGAGCCGGAGCCGGATTAGCCCCCGGCTCAGAGCCTCCGACGCCGGCACCGACGCTGCTCACGGAGAAAGCGACGTCGGGGAGGAGGGGGAGACGGAGCGACCGGAGCCGCACGAGCGGATTAGCAACGCCGACCGTTGCCTTGCGGCACCCGGTGTAGCGGTCGCCTCCCAGGAGCCGGGGGGGGTTGGACGAGTCGGGCCCCGGGGACCGTACCCTGCGGACGACGAGGTGGCGGGCCCCGTGGAGGAGGGCGCGGGGTTGACGCGCACGAAGCCGGCGCACTGCAGGAACGTTTTGGGCCCCATGCCCTTAACGCGGAGCAGCTGCTGGCGGCAGAGGAAGGGGCCTTGCTGCTCACGCCACTCCACGATGCGGCGAGCCAGAACGCTGCTCAGCCCGGACACGTACCTACACGCACACACGCATGCACGTGTACACGCACGCAGGCACGTGTACACGCACGCAGGCACGTGTACACGCACGCACACATGGGAACACACGCACGCACGTGTGGGAGTGTGGTCGTGCATTAGTGCAGTAATCTACGAGCGCGGTAGTGAATGTGGTAGTTTTTGAGCGTGGAAGTGAGTGTGGTAGTGGGGAGCGTGGTGGTGAGCGTGGTGGTGGTGAGCATGGTGATGGTGAGCTTGGTGATGGTGAGTAAACGTGGTGGTGAGCATGGTGATGAGCGTAGTGGTGGTGAGTGTGGTGGTGGTGAGCATGGTGGTGGTGGGGACAGGCGTCTATGACGTCTCCTGACCAAACCCCATTTGGCGGAGCCAGGAGACTGAATTTTTACCCTCGGGGCTCCTCCATAAACAACAAAAAAGCCACTACGTGTGGCCACGTGGAATGTTCGAATGCTCACTGCGGAGGAGAGGCTGCCACTGCTTAGTTGTGAGCTGGACCGGTACCGCCGGGATCTCTGTGGTATTCCGGAGGTCCGGTGGACCGGTTCTGGCTCCTGCCGCTATGTGGGGTGGACAGTCCTCTACTAGGGGCAGGAGACTACCAAACAACAGGGAGTCTCTTATTCTGAACAGAATAATGAAGGGGGCGTGTTCAGCACACCCGTGTTGAGGGGCCTGCTGTTCAGCACACCCGTGCTGGTGAGAGGGGCCTGCTATTCAGCACTCCCGTGCTGGTGAGAGGGGCCTGCTGTTCAGCACACCTGTGCTGGTGAGAGAGGCCTGCTGTTGAGGGGCCTGCTGTTCAGCACACCCGTGCTGGTGAGAGAGGCCTGCTGTTCAGCACACCCGTGCTGGTGAGAGGGGCCTGCTGTTGAGGGGCCTGCTGTTCAGCACAGCCGTGCTGGTGAGAGGCCTGCTGTTGAGGGGCCTGCTGTTCAGCACACCTGTGCTGGTGAGAGAGGCCTGCTGTTCAGCACACCCGTGTTGAGGGGCCTACTGTTCAGCACACCCGTGCTGGTGAGAGGGGCCTGCTGTTCAACACACCCGTGCTGGTGAGAGGGGCCTGCTGTTCATCACACCCGTGTTGGTGAGAGGGGCCTGCTGTTCAACACACCCGTGCTGGTGAGAGAGGCCTACTGTTCATCACACCCGTGCTGGTGAGAGGGGCCTACTGTTCATCACACCAGTGCTGGTGAGAGAGTCCTGCTGTTCAGCACACCCGTGCTGGTGCGAAAATGGCGCCGATGATGGTAGCCTCAGCCGGTCGGTGCGCCCTGTTTTGTCTTGTTTTGTCTGTCAATTCAGTGTTTTGCCAAGATTTTCGGAGTTCTCTAACAAGAGACGAACTTTTATATATCAGGGAAACAATTTAATTCCTACTTTTCTGCTTCCAGCGGCAGAATTAGTAGGCATTCTAGTCAATGTCGCGCTAGGCTTTGCTCAAGCAGCGAAACGCCGCCCAAGGGGTAAACGGTCGGGGGCTCTAGTACGGCTACGCAGACGCGGGATCCGAACAGTGCTTCCGAGCTTTTTCCTCTCCAACGTATGTTCACTGTACAACAAAATGGATGAACTTCAGCTACTGATGGTAAAAAACAAAGACTTTCTTTCAGCTTCTGTTTTGTGCTTCACGGAGACATGGCTGTGTGATTTGATTCCGGACACTTCGCTACAACTAGCAGGATTCCATCTTGTAAGATCGGATCGTGACATAGCACTCTCCGGCAAGACGAAAGGCGGTGGTATTTGTTTTTACATTAACAGTGGCTGGTGTGTAGATGTCACAGTGATTCTGCAACATTGTTCTCCACTCCTTGAATCAATTTTTATAACCTGTAAACCGTTTTACTCGCCTCGCGAGTTCGCGTCGCTCATTTTGGTTGGAGTTTATTTGCCACCTTATCCTCAGGTTAAAGAGGCCCAACGCATACTCGCCGATCAGATTCTGAGTGTGGAGCGAGCAAATCCAGATTCGTTGGTTATCGTACTTGGCGAATTTAACAAAGGTAATCTCAGCCACGAACTCCCCAAATACATACAATTCATTAAATGCCCAACCAGAGAAGGGAACACTCTGGATCACTGCTACACTACAGTCAGTAGAGCCTACCACGCCGTCCCCCGAGCAGCACTAGGACACTCTGACCATGCCATGGTCCACCTGATTCCTGCATACAGGCAGAAACTAAAACTCTGTAAACCTGCTGTGAGGACATCTAAACAGTGGACCAGTGATGCTGTGGAAGATTTGCGAACGTACTTAGACTGTACTGACTGGGATATGTTCACGACTGCTACCAATAGTCTGGATGAACTCACAGAGGCTGTGACGTCCTACATCAGCTTCTGTGAGGACTGCTGTATCCCAACACGTACCAGGGTGAACTTAAACAACAAGCCCTGGTTCTCGGCAAAGCTCAGAAGGTTGAGGTTGGAGAAGGAGGAAGCATTTAGGAGTGGGGATAGAGACAGATTCAAGGAGTCGAAGAACAGGTTTAGCAAAGCGGTGAGAGAGGCTAAACGACTGTACTCAGAGAGACCAAAACACCAGTTCTCTACTAACGACGCTGCTTCTGTCTGGAGAGGGCTCAGGCAGATCACCAACTACAAACCCAGAGCCCCCCACACCACTAACGACTCCCGCCTAGCCAACGACCTGAACGAGGTCTACTGTAGATTTCAAAGGCAATTGGACTGTCCTGAACCACCCCTTCCCACCCAAGAGGCCCCATCCCCCACCCATACTACAGAGACGACTCTCTCCTTTCAGGAGGGAGAAGTTAATAGACTTTTCAAGAGGCAGAATCCACGCAAAGCAGCCGGGCCGGACTCTGTCTCTCCAGCCACCCTCAGGCACTGCGCTGACCAGCTGTCTCCGTTGTTCACCAACATCTTTAACACCTCCCTGGAGACATGCCATGTACCAGCCTGTCTCAAGTCCTCCACCATCATCCCTGTGCCCAAAAAGCTAAGGCCAACAGGACTAAATGATTACAGACCGGTCGCCCTTACATCTGTGGTAATGAAGTCTTTTGAGCGCCTGGTCCTGGCACACCTCAAAGCCATCACAGACCCTCTCCTGGACCCCCTCCAGTTTGCCTACAGAGCCAACAGGTCTGTGGACGACGCAGTTAACATGGCTTTCCACTTCACCCTACAGCATCTGGACGCCCCAGCATCCTACGCCAGGATCCTGTTTGTGGACTTCAGCTCTGCCTTCAACACCATCATCCCTGCCCTGCTTCAGGACAAGCTCTTCCAGCTGAACGTGCCCTACTCCACCTGCAGGTGGATCACAGACTTCCTGTCTGCAGGAAGCAGTGCGTTAAGCTGGGAACACAAGTCTCTGACTCCAGGTCCATCAGCAACGGAACTCCTCAGGGCTGCGTCCTTTCCCCACTGCTCTTCTCCCTGTATACCAACAGCTGCACCTCCAATCATCTGTCCGTCAAACTCTTGAAGTTTGCGGACGACACCACCCTCATTGGGCTGATCTCTGGTGGGGATGAGTCTGACTATAGGTGGGAAGCTGACAACCTGGTGACCTGGTGTAGCCAGAACAACTTAGAGCTAAATACTCTAAAGACAGTTGAGATGGTTGTGGACTTCAGGAAGAATACAGCCCCACTCACCCCCATCACCCTGTTAGACTCCCCAGTCAAAATAGTAGAGTCCTTCCACTTCCTGGGCACTATTCTCTCCCGGGACCTCAAGTGGGAACTGAACATCAGCTCCCTCACCAAGAGAGCTCAACAGAGGATGTACTTTCTACGGCAGCTGAAGAAATTCAACCTGCAAAAGACAATGATGGTGCAATTCTATACAGCGATCATTGAATCCATCCTCACCTCCTCCATAACCGTCTGGTACGCTGCTGCCACTGCCAAGGACAAGAGCAGACTGCAGCGTATCAGCCACACTGCTGAGAAGGTAATTTCCTGCAATCTACCAACCCTCGAGGACCTGCACACGACAAGGACCATGAGGCGAGCGAGGAAGATTGTGGCTGATTCCTCCCACCCTGGACACTCTTTGTTTCAGCTACTCCCCTCCGGCAGAAGGCTTCGGTCCATCAGGACCAAAACCTCACGCCATAAAAACAGTTTCTTCCCATCTGCTGCTGGCCTGTTAAACAAGGCCAAGGGCTTACACTGATTTTAACATTTTATCTACATAATGACACCTTGCCGATATTAACTATGTTAACCTATTTGTATTTTTTAATTATATCTTAAAGCTATTTTATATTCGATATTTATTCAATTTTATATACTTCAGCCCCTTGGTGTTAGACTTTTAACCCTTATTATTATAGTAAGACTTGTTTAAAACTTATTTAAGATTTTAGATTCCTATATGTTGAATGTATGCACCATCCTGCCAAAGTAAATTCCGTGTCGGTGTGAACTTTCATGGCGAATAAAACCCTTTCTGATTCTGATTCTGAGCGTGGTGGTGAGGTGTGGGAAGCTGTAAGCCCCAGGCTACTTTGGGCTCACCTTCCCATCAACCAGAGGCGAGGAGTGGTGGTCGAAGACGAACATCCGTGGAGGGATGCAGGCAAAGCCGATGAGTCAGATGCCTTCTATGACCTCCTGTCACAGGTGCTAGCTAAAGTGGCCCCTCGGGATAGAGTCATCTTGTTGGGCGACTTTAATGCCCGAGTTGGTCATGATGTTGGCACCTGGTCTGGAGTGATTGGAAGGCATGGGCCAGATCAGCTCAATAACAACGGTAGGAGGCTGCTAGATTTTTGTGCAGCCCATGGGCTTGTAATTACCAACATGCTGTTCTGGCATCAGCGCATCCACACATCATGGATGCATGCCGAGTCCAAGCAAGAACCTCTGCTGGACTACATAGTGAAAGAACAGCGGATGTGGGCCCATGTCCTTGACATCAGGACCTACCGTGGAACTGATCTACCCACTGACCATCGACTTGTCGTCTGTAAGATGCGCCTGCCATTCTTCCATTCTGGTGGTGGGTGTACACCCAGGACCCCATTCAAAACCCATAGTGGCCTGGTCTCAGATGATGAAAGATGCACGCGAGAATTTCATCATTGCTTGCGGCTGGGGATGGCATTGTCCCCCACTCCTCCTGATGTCGAGGAGAAATGGGCGAGGTTTAGGACTGTGGCTCATGCAGCTGGAATGGCTGCTTTCGGTACACGGTCCAGACCTCCCCAGAGACCCTGGCTAACAGAGGAGGTGTTCAGGCTGGCTCAGAAAAAAGCGACAGGCCCACTCTCATCGTCTACAGCATCCCACGTCAGAGAATGAGGAGCCTTCGATCGGAGGTTCAGAGAGTCGTGAGGCACTGCAAGGATGGGTGGTAGTCGCGGGTTGCTGAGGAGATGGAATATTCCTCAATGACCCGCGATCACATATCGCTCTTTAACTCCATCAATAAAGTAACCTGCAGCGCCACACCTATTACCATCATTAGGGGAAAGAATGGTGATCCAATCTCCGACCCCCAGGAACAGGTTTGCTGATTTGCTGAGCATTTCTGTGAGGTCCAGGGGGAGGGGAAATCCCCCAGCCTAGAAAACATCAGTGCCTCAAATATTGGAAGAAGAATTCACCCCCTGTGAGTGGCTGGCTGAGGTGCCATCTGTTGAGGAAGTACTGAAGGTGATCCAGAGTCTGTGCACAGACTGCCTGACATGACATCATAACAACAGTCTGAACCACTGGATGGGTTCAGCAGGATTGGAAGGATGCCCTGGTGGTCTCCCTCTATAAGAAGGGGGACAGCACAGACTGTAACAACTACATGGGCATCTCACTCTTCAGTGTGCCAGGAAAGGTCCTGGCAAGGATTATTCAACATAACCTTGCCAGGCACGCTGAGGAGATGCTTGCGGAGCCCCAATGCGATTTCAGGAAAGGGCGGTCCTGCACAGATGCCATATTTTCTGTCCGTCTGCTACAGCAGACGTGTAGGGAATTCCAACAAGACCTTCATATATCTGCTTTATTGACCTAGTCAAGGCCTATGCTACCATCAGTAGGCCTGGGCTCTGGGTTGAGCGGCATTATCTTTTCATCAGTTGCGTAATGCTGTGTGGATGCTACCTGGTCTCTCGTTCCACACGAAGCTTCAGGTCTCAGTCATTCCCTCCCTTCTCTACACTTGTGAAATGTAATGGAACATCTTCGCCAGTTAGAAACATTTAGGCTGGCCTGCCTACGTCCCACCCTTGGGCTTCAACCAGGCTGGATTGTGTGAGGAGCTCACAAATCCTTGAAAGATCTGGACAAAGTCCCATCGGTGAACTCTTCTGACAGGTAAGGCTGCGTTGGCTGGGTCATGTAGCCCGCATGCCCAGCCACCGCATGCCTAAACAGCTTTTGTTCGGCCAGATAGAGGGGGCTAAACGGGCGCGGCACGATCTAGAGAAGAGATGGAGTGATGTGCTACAGGAGGACGTGGAGCTGAGTGAACTTGCCGATGACTGGTACCAGCGGTGTCAAGATCGGCCTCTGTGGAGGAGGCTCGTGAAGGACGCTAAAGGGCAGTTGGAGGCAGTCGCCCTCCAACAACAACGGAGGGCAGAGGATCGACGCTCACAACAACGAGCAGAGCGCCGGGTGGCTAAAGCACAGCAAGTTGGCACAGTAGGGGGCACAGGTGGTGCATCAGCCAGTCATCTCAGCTAGTCGACCCGTGGCACCTGGGTCTGCCCCGTGACCTCCTGCCAGAGGGCGTTCGACACTTCACGTGGCCTCAACGTGCACATAGCCTGGCACAAGCGTCGTGTTGAGGTCACTGCCACTTAGTGGCGAATGGCGGTTCTTTTTGTGCGAACATGAGTGCGCGTGTGTGCGTGAATATGTGTGTGCGTGAATGTGTGCGTGCGCGAGTGAGTGCGTGAGCGTGCATCCGAGTCTGTGAGCGAGTGTGAGCATGTGCATGTGCATGCGAGTGTGCAAGCGTGTGTGCATGTGCGAGTGTGGCATAAGCGTCGTGGTGACGTCGCTGCCACTGAGTGACAAACGGCGGTTGTAGTTGTGGTGGCGAGTGTGGTGGTGAGCGCCGCACCCCAGCAGCGTGACGGAGCAGGCATTGATGTCCACGCCCACGAAGCTGACGCACTCCTGCACCACGCCACGCAGCGCCACCTTCAGCTGTGCATCCGGCAGGTCGTGCTGCACGCCACCGCCACCACATCGACAACAATCACCACCGCCACAACATCAACAACAACATCCACCACATCCAACCACCACCACATTAACAACAACCACCACCATAACATCACCGCCACAACGTAAGAGACAAGTGAGCGTCCGCACACCTGGTACATGCCGATGCCCAGGTGCTTGGGGTCGATCTTCACCAGCTCTGCCAGAGGGTCCTGCAGACGGCGAGCGATGGACACTGCAGAGACAAAGATACCCCCCGCCCTGTTGTAGCCTCCGCAGACTGCCGGGCCACGTTAGCGAGCAGCAGCCATGAAGGCCGGCACGGCACACGGGGGGGGTGTTCGGCGCCATGACCTGGCCGCTCGCGGGGGGTCGCGGGGGGGTCGCGGGGGGTCCCGGGGGGTCGCGGGGTGCTGTGCGTTACCGGCGCTGCGCAGGTTGGGGTCCATGCCAGGCATCTCTTGCTGAGCCTCGGGGCTCACGCTGTAGATGGAGGCGCCGTTCTCGTTCACGATGCTGCGCACGGGGGGACACGTGGCGGTCACACGGGGTCACAGGGGGACACACGGGGTCACAGGGGGACACACGGGGTCACAGGGGGTCACACGGGGTCACAGGGGGACACACGGGGTCACAGGGGGTCACACGGGGTCACAGGGGGTCACAGGGGGACACACGGGGTCACAGGGGGACACACGGGGTCACAGGGGGTCACAGGGGGACACACGGGGTCACAGGGGGACACACGGGGTCACAGGGGGACACACGGGGTCACAGGGGGACACACGGGGTCACAGGGGGACACACGGGGTCACAGGGGGACACACGGGGTCACAGGGGGACACACGGGGTCACAGGGAAGTCACAGCGGGGGTGTATGTGGGGTCACAGGGGGACACACGAGGGGTCACAAGAGGGTCACAAGGGGGTCACAGGAGGGTCACATGGGGGGCACAGAAGGTCAAGGGAGGTGGAAGATGAGAGGGGAGGTCAAATGGGAAGGGGGGGAGGAAGGTGAGAGTAGGAGGTGGGTGTGTGAGGTGAGTGTGTGAGGTGAGTGTGTGTGGTGGGTGTGTGAGGTGAGTGTGTGAGGTGAGTGTGTGAGGTGAGTGTGTGAGGTGAGAGTGTGAGGTGAGTGTGTGAGGTGAGTGAGGTGAGTGTGTGAGGTGAGTGTGTGAGGTGTGAGGTGAGGGTGTGAGGTGAGTGTGTGTGGTGTGTGAGGTGAGTGTGTGAGGTGAGGGTGTGAGGTGAGTGTGTGAGGTGAGGGTGTGAGGTGAGTGTGTGAGGTGTGTGAGGTGAGGGTGTGAGGTGAGTGTGTGAGGTGAGGGTGTGAGGTGTGTGGTGTGAGGTGAGTGTGTGAGGTGTGAGGTGAGTGTGTGAGGTGAGTGTGTGAGGTGAGTGTGTGAGTGTGTGAGGTGAGTGTGTGAGGTGTGAGGTGAGTGTGTGAGGTGAGTGTGTGAGTTGAGTGTGTGAGGTGAGTGTGTGAGGTGTGAGGTGAGGGTGTGAGGTGAGTGTGTGAGGTGAGTGTGTGAGGTGAGGGTGTGAGGTGAGTGTGTGAGGTGTGAGGTGAGTGTGTGAGGTGAGTGTGTGGGGTGAGTGTGTGAGGTGAGTGTGTGAGGTGAGTGTGTGGGGTGAGTGTGTGGGGTGAGTGTGTGAGGTGAGTGTGTGAGGTGAGTGTGTGAGGTGAGTGTGTGAGGTGTGAGGTGAGGGTGTGAGGTGTGGGTGTGTGAGGTGAGGATGTGAGGTGAGTGTGTGAGGTGAGGGTGTGAGGTGAGTGTGTGAGGTGTGGGTGTGAGGTGAGTGTGTAAGGTGAGTGTGTGAGGTGTGAGGTGAGTGTGTGAGGTGAGTGTGTGAGGTGTGAGGTGAGTGTGTGAGGTGAGTGTGTGAGGTGTGAGGTGAGTGTGTAAGGTGAGTGTGTGAGGTGTGAGGTGAGTGTGTGAGGTGAGTGTGTGAGGTGAGTGTGTGAGGTGTGGGTGTGTGAGGTGAGGGTGTGAGGTGAGTGTGTGAGGTGAGTGTGTGAGGTGAGTGTGTGAGGTGAGTGTGTGAGGTGAGTGTGTGAGGTGTGGGTGTGTGAGGTGAGGATGTGAGGTGAGTGTGTGAGGTGAGGGTGTGAGGTGAGTGTGTGAGGTGAGTGTGTGAGGTGTGAGGTGAGTGTGTGAGGTGAGTGTGTGAGGTGTGAGGTGAGTGTGTAAGGTGAGTGTGTGAGGTGTGAGGTGAGTGTGTGAGGTGAGTGTGTGAGGTGTGGGTGTGTGAGGTGAGGGTGTGAGGTGAGTGTGTGAGGTGAGTGTGTGAGGTGAGTGTGTGAGGTGAGGGTGTGAGGTGAGTGTGTGAGGTGAGTGTGTGAGGTGAGTGTGTGAGGTGAGTGTGTGAGGTGTGTGAGGTGAGTGTGTGAGGTGAGGGTGTGAGGTGAGTGTGTGAGGTGTGGGTGTGAGGTGAGTGTGTAAGGTGTGTGAGGTGTGAGGTGAGTGTGTGAGGTGAGTGTGTGAGGTGAGGGTGTGAGATGAGGGTGTGAGATGTGTGGTTAGTGTGTGAGGTGAGTATGTGAGGTGAGTGTGTGAGGTGAGTGTGTGAGGTGAGTGTGTGAGGTGTGAGGTGAGTGTGTGAGGTGAGGGTGTGAGATGAGGGTGTGAGATGTGTGGTGAGTGTGTGAGGTGAGTATGTGAGGTGAGTGTGTGAGGTGAGTGTGTGAGGGGTGAGGTGTGAGGTGAGTGTGTGTGGTGAGTGTGTGAGGTGTGTGGTGAGTGTGTGAGGTGAGAGTAGGAGGTGAGTGTGTGAGGTGAGTGTGTGAGGTGAGTGTGTGAGGTGTGAGGTGAGTGTGTGAGGTGAGTGTGTGAGGTGAGTGTGTGAGGTGTGGGTGTGTGAGGTGTGAGGTGAGTGTGTGAGGTGAGTGTGTGAGGTGAGTGTGTGAGGTGTGGGTGTGTGAGGTGAGGGTGTGAGGTGAGTGTGTGAGGTGTGTGAGGTGAGTGTGTGAGGTGAGTGTGTGAGGTGTGGGTGTGAGGTGAGTGTGTAAGGTGAGTGTGTGAGGTGTGAGGTGAGTGTGTGAGGTGAGTGTGTGAGGTGAGGGTGTGAGATGAGGGTGTGAGATGTGTGGTGAGTGTGTGAGGTGAGTATGTGAGGTGAGTGTGTGAGGTGAGTGTGTGAGGAGTGAGGTGTGAGGTGAGTGTGTGTGGTGAGTGTGTGAGGTGAGTGTGTGAGGTGAGTGTGTGAGGTGAGTGTGTGAGGTGAGTGTGTGAGGTGTGAGGTGAGTGTGTGAGGTGAGTGTGTGAGGTGAGGGTGTGAGGTGAGTGTGTGAGGTGAGTGTGTGAGGTGAGTGTGTGAGGTGAGTGTGTGAGGTGAGTGTGTGAGGTGTGAGGTGAGGGTGTGAGGTGTGGGTGTGTGAGGTGAGGATGTGAGGTGAGTGTGTGAGGTGAGTGTGTGAGGTGAGGGTGTGAGGTGAGTGTGTGAGGTGAGTGTGTGAGGTGAGTGTGTGAGGTGAGGGTGTGAGGTGAGTGTGTGAGGTGTGTGAGGTGAGTGTGTGAGGTGAGGGTGTGAGGTGAGTGTGTGAGGTGTGGGTGTGAGGTGAGTGTGTAAGGTGTGTGAGGTGTGAGGTGAGTGTGTGAGGTGAGTGTGTGAGGTGAGGGTGTGAGATGAGGGTGTGAGATGTGTGGTGAGTGTGTGAGGTGAGTATGTGAGGTGAGTGTGTGAGGTGAGTGTGTGAGGTGAGTGTGTGAGGTGTGAGGTGAGTGTGTGAGGTGAGGGTGTGAGATGAGGGTGTGAGATGTGTGGTGAGTGTGTGAGGTGAGTATGTGAGGTGAGTGTGTGAGGTGAGTGTGTGAGGGGTGAGGTGTGAGGTGAGTGTGTGTGGTGAGTGTGTGAGGTGTGTGGTGAGTGTGTGAGGTGAGAGTAGGAGGTGAGTGTGTGAGGTGAGTGTGTGAGGTGAGTGTGTGAGGTGTGAGGTGAGTGTGTGAGGTGAGTGTGTGAGGTGAGTGTGTGAGGTGTGTGAGGTGAGTGTGTGAGGTGAGTGTGTGAGGTGAGTGTGTGAGGTGAGTGTGTGAGGTGTGGGTGTGTGAGGTGAGTGTGTGAGGTGAGTGTGTGAGGTGTGTGAGGTGAGTGTGTGAGGTGAGTGTGTGAGGTGTGGGTGTGAGGTGAGTGTGTAAGGTGAGTGTGTGAGGTGTGAGGTGAGTGTGTGAGGTGAGTGTGTGAGGTGAGGGTGTGAGATGAGGGTGTGAGATGTGTGGTGAGTGTGTGAGGTGAGTATGTGAGGTGAGTGTGTGAGGTGAGTGTGTGAGGAGTGAGGTGTGAGGTGAGTGTGTGTGGTGAGTGTGTGAGGTGAGTGTGTGAGGTGAGTGTGTGAGGTGAGTGTGTGAGGTGAGTGTGTGAGGTGTGAGGTGAGTGTGTGAGGTGAGGGTGTGAGGTGAGTGTGTGAGGTGAGTGTGTGAGGTGAGTGTGTGAGGTGAGTGTGTGAGGTGAGTGTGTGAGGTGTGAGGTGAGGGTGTGAGGTGTGGGTGTGTGAGGTGAGGATGTGAGGTGAGTGTGTGAGGTGAGGGTGTGAGGTGAGTGTGTGAGGTGTGGGTGTGAGGTGAGTGTGTAAGGTGAGTGTGTGAGGTGTGAGGTGAGTGTGTGAGGTGAGTGTGTGAGGTGTGAGGTGTGAGGTGAGTGTGTGAGGTGAGTGTGTGAGGTGTGAGGTGAGTGTGTAAGGTGAGTGTGTGAGGTGTGAGGTGAGTGTGTGAGGTGAGTGTGTGAGGTGAGTGTGTGAGGTGTGGGTGTGTGAGGTGAGGGTGTGAGGTGAGTGTGTGAGGTGAGTGTGTGAGGTGAGGGTGTGAGGTGAGTGTGTGAGGTGAGTGTGTGAGGTGTGAGGTGAGTGTGTGAGGTGAGGGTGTGAGGTGAGTGTGTGAGGTGTGTGAGGTGAGTGTGTGAGGTGAGGGTGTGAGGTGAGTGTGAGGTGTGGGTGTGAGGTGAGTGTGTAAGGTGAGTGTGTGAGGTGTGAGGTGAGTGTGTGAGGTGAGTGTGTGAGGTGAGGGTGTGAGATGAGGGTGTGAGATGTGTGGTGAGTGTGTGAGGTGAGTATGTGAGGTGAGTGTGTGAGGTGAGTGTGTGAGGTGAGTGTGTGAGGTGTGAGGTGAGTGTGTGAGGTGAGGGTGTGAGATGAGGGTGTGAGATGTGTGGTGAGTGTGTGAGGTGAGTATGTGAGGTGAGTGTGTGAGGTGAGTGTGTGAGGGGTGAGGTGTGAGGTGAGTGTGTGTGGTGAGTGTGTGAGGTGTGTGGTGAGTGTGTGAGGTGAGAGTAGGAGGTGAGTGTGTGAGGTGAGTGTGTGAGGTGAGTGTGTGAGGTGTGAGGTGAGTGTGTGAGGTGAGTGTGTGAGGTGAGTGTGTGAGGTGTGGGTCTGTGAGGTGTGAGGTGAGTGTGTGAGGTGAGTGTGTGAGGTGAGTCTGTGAGGTGAGTGTGTGAGGTGTGGGTGTGTGAGGTGAGGGTGTGAGGTGAGTGTGTGAGGTGTGTGAGGTGAGGGTGTGAGATGAGGGTGTGAGATGTGTGGTGAGTGTGTGAGGTGAGTATGTGAGGTGAGTGTGTGAGGTGAGTGTGTGAGGGGTGAGGTGTGAGGTGAGTGTGTGTGGTGAGTGTGTGAGGTGTGTGGTGAGTGTGTGAGGTGAGAGTAGGAGGTGAGTGTGTGAGGTGAGTGTGTGAGGTGAGTGTGTGAGGTGTGAGGTGAGTGTGTGAGGTGAGTGTGTGAGGTGAGTGTGTGAGGTGAGTGTGTGAGGTGTGAGGTGAGTGTGTGAGGTGAGTGTGTGAGGTGAGTGTGTGAGGTGAGTGTGTGAGGTGTGGGTGTGTGAGGTGAGGGTGTGAGGTGAGTGTGTGAGGTGTGTGAGGTGAGTGTGTGAGGTGAGTGTGTGAGGTGTGGGTGTGAGGTGAGTGTGTAAGGTGAGTGTGTGAGGTGTGAGGTGAGTGTGTGAGGTGAGTGTGTGAGGTGAGGGTGTGAGATGAGGGTGTGAGATGTGTGGTGAGTGTGTGAGGTGAGTATGTGAGGTGAGTGTGTGAGGTGAGTGTGTGAGGAGTGAGGTGTGAGGTGAGTGTGTGTGGTGAGTGTGTGAGGTGAGTGTGTGAGGTGAGTGTGTGAGGTGAGTGTGTGAGGTGAGTGTGTGAGGTGTGAGGTGAGTGTGTGAGGTGAGTGTGTGAGGTGAGTGTGTGAGGTGAGTGTGTGAGGTGAGTGTGTGAGGTGAGTGTGTGAGGTGAGTGTGTGAGGTGTGAGGTGAGGGTGTGAGGTGTGGGTGTGTGAGGTGAGGATGTGAGGTGAGTGTGTGAGGTGAGGGTGTGAGGTGAGTGTGTGAGGTGTGGGTGTGAGGTGAGTGTGTAAGGTGAGTGTGTGAGGTGTGAGGTGAGTGTGTGAGGTGAGTGTGTGAGGTGTGAGGTGTGAGGTGAGTGTGTGAGGTGAGTGTGTGAGGTGTGAGGTGAGTGTGTAAGGTGAGTGTGTGAGGTGTGAGGTGAGTGTGTGAGGTGAGTGTGTGAGGTGAGTGTGTGAGGTGTGGGTGTGTGAGGTGAGGGTGTGAGGTGAGTGTGTGAGGTGAGTGTGTGAGGTGAGGGTGTGAGGTGAGTGTGTGAGGTGAGTGTGTGAGGTGTGAGGTGAGTGTGTGAGGTGAGTGTGTGAGGTGAGGGTGTGAGGTGAGTGTGTGAGGTGTGTGAGGTGAGTGTGTGAGGTGAGGGTGTGAGGTGAGTGTGAGGTGTGGGTGTGAGGTGAGTGTGTAAGGTGAGTGTGTGAGGTGTGAGGTGAGTGTGTGAGGTGAGTGTGTGAGGTGAGGGTGTGAGATGAGGGTGTGAGATGTGTGGTGAGTGTGTGAGGTGAGTATGTGAGGTGAGTGTGTGAGGTGAGTGTGTGAGGTGAGTGTGTGAGGTGTGAGGTGAGTGTGTGAGGTGAGGGTGTGAGATGAGGGTGTGAGATGTGTGGTGAGTGTGTGAGGTGAGTATGTGAGGTGAGTGTGTGAGGTGAGTGTGTGAGGGGTGAGGTGTGAGGTGAGTGTGTGTGGTGAGTGTGTGAGGTGTGTGGTGAGTGTGTGAGGTGAGAGTAGGAGGTGAGTGTGTGAGGTGAGTGTGTGAGGTGAGTGTGTGAGGTGTGAGGTGAGTGTGTGAGGTGAGTGTGTGAGGTGTGGGTGTGTGAGGTGTGAGGTGAGTGTGTGAGGTGAGTGTGTGAGGTGAGTCTGTGAGGTGAGTGTGTGAGGTGTGGGTGTGTGAGGTGAGGGTGTGAGGTGAGTGTGTGAGGTGTGTGAGGTGAGTGTGTGAGGTGTGGGTGTGAGGTGAGTGTGTAAGGTGAGTGTGTGAGGTGTGAGGTGAGTGTGTGAGGTGAGTGTGTGAGGTGAGGGTGTGAGATGAGGGTGTGAGATGTGTGGTGAGTGTGTGAGGTGAGTATGTGAGGTGAGTGTGTGAGGAGTGAGGTGTGAGGTGAGTGTGTGTGGTGAGTGTGTGAGGTGAGTGTGTGAGGTGTGAGGTGAGTGTGTGAGGTGAGTGTGTGAGGTGAGTGTGTGAGGTGAGTGTGTGAGGTGTGAGGTGAGTGTGTGAGGTGAGTGTGTGAGGTGAGGGTGTGAGGTGAGTGTGTGAGGTGAGTGTGTGAGGTGAGTGTGTGGGGTGAGTGTGTGAGGTGTGAGGTGAGTGTGTGAGGTGAGTGTGTGAGGTGAGTGTGTGAGGTGAGTGTGTGAGGTGTGAGGTGAGTGTGTGAGGTGAGTGTGTGAGGTGAGTGTGTGAGGTGAGTGTGTGAGGTGAGTGTGTGAGGTGAGTGTGTGGGGTGAGTGTGTGAGGTGTGAGGTGAGTGTGTGAGGTGAGTGTGTGAGGTGAGGGTGTGAGGTGAGTGTGTGAGGTGAGTGTGTGAGGTGAGTGTGTGAGGTGAGGGTGTGAGGTGAGTGTGTGAGGTGAGTGTGTGAGGTGAGTGTGTGGGGTGAGTGTGTGAGGTGAGTGTGTGGGGTGAGTGTGTGAGGTGAGGGTGTGAGGTGAGTGTGTGAGGTGAGTGTGTGAGGTGAGTGTGTGGGGTGAGTGTGTGGGGTGAGTGTGTGAGGTGAGTGTGTGGGGTGAGTGTGTGAGGTGAGTGTGTGGGGTGAGTGTGTGAGGTGAGTGTGAGGTGTGAGGTGAGTATGTGAGGTGAGTGTGTGGGGTGAGTGTGTGAGGCGAGGGTGAGCGTGAGGTGAGCAGCCCCCCCATCTCCCCACCTGTAGACCACGTTGAGGGGCCGCAGGGAGCCGCTCTGGATGAGCTCCGACACGAAGCACTCCGCCTCACGGCAGCCACAGCCGTTGCCAATCGCCACGGTCTCACAGCTGCAGCACGGGGGGCGAACGTGAGTGAGTGTGTAAGTGTGTGTGAGTGAGTGTGAGTGAGTGTGAGTGACTGTGAGTGAGAGTAAGTGTGTGTGAGTGTGTGTGAGTGAGTATGTGAGAGTGTGTGAGTGTGTGTGAGTGTGTGTGAGTGTGTGTGAGTGAGCATGTGAGTGTGTGTGCGTGAGTGAGCATGTAAGAGTGTTTGAGTGTGTGAGTGAGCATGTGAGAGTGTGTGTGAGTGTGTGTGAGTGAGTGTGTGTGAGTGTGAGTGAGCATGTGAGAGTGTGTGAGTGTGTGTGAGTGAGCATGTGAGAGTGTGAGTGAGCATGTGAGAGTGTGTGAGTGAGTGTGAGTGAGTGTGTGTGTGTGTGAGTGAGCATGTGAGAGTGTGTGAGTGAGTGAGCATGCGAGTGTGTGTGAGTGAGCATGTGAGAGTGTGTGAGTGAGTGAGCATGTGAGTGAGTGTGAGTGAGCATGTGAGAGTGTGTGAGTGAGTGTGAGTGTGTGAGTGAGTGTGTGTGAGTGAGCATGTGAGAGTGTATGAGTGAGTGAGCACGTGCGTGAGTTTGTGTGGTGAGCGAGTGAGTGTGAGCGAGTGTGTGTGAGTGTGTGAGTTTGAGCGAGTGTTTGAGTGAGTGCGTATGAGTGAGTGTGCGAGTGTGTGCGTGAGTGCGGGTGAGCCAGTGAGAGTGTCTCTTCCGTCTCTCTCTGTCACTGTGTGTCTGTGTGTCTCAGTGTGTCTCTGTGTATAGATCCCCGTGGGTCCTGAGTTCCAACTCCCGAAGTCCCCGAGTTCCCGGGTTCTTGTGACCCCGAGTCCCAACTCCCCGACTCTCAAGTCCACGAATTTCTGAGTCCCAAATCTCCGAGTCCCAACTCTCCGAGTCCCAACTCTCCGAATCCCAACTCTCCGAGTCCCAACTCCCCGAGTCCCAACTCTCCGAGTCCCGACTCCCCGAGTCCCGACTCCCCGAGTCCCAACTCTCCGAGTCCCAAATCTCCGAGTCCCAACTCTCCGAGTCCCAACTCTCCGAGTCCCAACTCTCCGAGTCTCTCGTCTCACCGGTGCTGCAGCAGGAGGTTCCTCACGGTGGCCTGGCTGCGTTTTGTGTCGTCCAAGAAGATCACGTCGGTTGCCACCACCTGGCCTGCACACCCTCACCACCACCACCACCACCACGCTGACCGCCGCACCCTCACATCCACCACACTCACCACCATCAGCGTGGCGAGCGAGCGGGCGGGGAGCCTCACCCGCGGGGGAGGTGAGCGCCAGCGTGCGGTGGCGAACGTGCGGTGAGCCTCACCCGTGGGGGAGGTGAGTGCCAGCGTGCGGTGACGAACGTGCGGTGAGCCTCACCCGTGGGGGAGGTGAGCGCCAGCTTGCACCCGTGCCGGAACCCCGGGTCGATGCCGAGCACGGAGCGACCGCGCACCGGCGGCACCAGCAGCAGCTTGCGCAGGTTCTTGGCGAAGAGGGAAATGGAGGCGAGCTCCGCACGGCGCGTGAGACTCGCGCTGACACCGCACGCGGTGGGAGGGGCGGAGGGACACGGGGGGGTCACGGGGGTACACGTGGGGGGGGGGGGGGGGGAACGCGTGGGGGGACACGTGGGGGGGGGGGGGGGACGTGTGGGGGGACACGTGGGGGGACGCGTGGGGGGATGCGTGGGGGGGGGGGGGACACGTGGGGGGACACGTGGGGGGCGTGCGTGCTCACCGGTAGTGGCGTGTGACCAGCGGGATAATGAGGCGCTTCAAGGAGTCCTCCAAGGAGTTGGAGAGCAGCTGCTGCACATAAGGCGGCACGAAGGGTACCAGCAGACGCCACCTACGAGTAGCAAACACAGGGGCCCAGTGTAGCCTCCACCACACTCAGGGGCCCCGTGTAGCCTCCACCACACTCAGGGGCCCAGTGTAGCCTCCACCACACTCAGGGGCCCCGTGTAGCCTCCACCACACACAGGGGCCCCGTGTAGCCTCCACCACACACAGGGGCCCCGTGTAGCCTCCACCACACTCCGGGGCCCAGTGTAGCCTCCACCACACTCAGGGGCCCCGTGTAGCCTCCACCACACTCAGGGGCCCCGTGTAGCCTCCACCACACTCAGGGGCCCCGTGTAGCCTCCACCACACTCAGGGGCCCCGTGTAGCCTCCACCACACACAGGGGCCCAGTGTAGCCTCCACCACACTCAGGGGCCCCGTGTAGCCTCCACCACACACAGGGGCCCCGTGTAGCCTCCACCACACACAGGGGCCCAGTGTAGCCTCCACCCCACTCAGGGGCCCCGTGTAGCCTCCACCACACTCAGGGGCCCCGTGTAGCCTCCACCACACACAGGGGCCCCGTGTAGCCTCCACCACACACAGGGGCCCCGTGTAGCCTCCACCACACTCAGGGGCCCAGTGTAGCCTCCACCACACTCAGGGGCCCAGTGTAGCCTCCACCACACTCAGGGGCCCAGTGTAGCCTCCACCACACTCAGGGGCCCCGTGTAGCCTCCACCACACTCAGGGGCCCCGTGTAGCCTCCACCACACTCAGGGGCCCCGTGTAGCCTCCACCACACACAGGGGCGCCGTGTAGCCTCCACCACACACAGGGGCAAGCCCCGTGCCGGCGAGGGAACCGCAACATGAACGTGTCCAGACTTACCCCTTTCTCTCTCTGTTCCCTCTCTCTCTCTCTGTTCCCTCTCTCTCTCTCTGTTCCCTCTCTCTCTCTGTTCTCTCTCTCTTTCTCTGTTCCCTTTGATCCCCTCTCTCTTGTGCTCCCTCTCTTCTTCCTGCTATATGGCATCAACAGTTGCCAAATTAAATACACACAGCAGCAACATCGGCCCGGCTACTGCTGTGAGAAGCTGGCAGGACCCTCCTGTGAGCGAGTCTTGAGACTCGGCGATGGTGGACGTGGTGATGGGTGCTGCGCTATGAACCCGGTGACCAAAGTTCGATTCCCTCTCATGGCGAACACGAGTGAAGATTATCCAAATCGTCGCTGCTGTTAGCCTGGGCCTCCTCCCCTAGGTCGACTCAGTCCCAAACGAGCACCTGGTGCAGCGTTGTGTAAACATCGCCACTGGGGAGACAAAGGCGGCCGGGCGTGGTGCTGGCCACCCACCTCCTCGTGTGGCGTGCCGGCCTTTGTAGGTGCTGCTCACTAAGAGCACTTGCCCCAACAGTCTGTCAAGGCTACACGGGGGGGTCTTTGTCTTTGTTCAATGGGGCCCTGACCTCTGGTTGAGACACCAGCTGTGGAAGTTGGTCTTGACTTGCACGGGGATGTTGATCTTCACCGTCAGGATTTTCAAATTCTCTCCCCGATTCAGCGCCAACACCTGCAACGACGGAGATCAATCGTCGGTTAAAACGCTCAAGCGGCCGCTCTGGGTTCCCGCCTGACACCCGGGGGACGCGCACACTCGCACACATGCACGCACACTCAACAACAACCGCCATTCGCCACTAAGTGGCAGTGACGTCACCACGACGCTTGTGCCAGGCCATGTGCACGTTGAGGCCACGTGAAGTGTCGAACGCCCGCTGGCAGGAGGTCACAGGGCAGACCCAGATGCAACGGGTCGACTGACTGAGATGACTGGCTGATGCACCACCTGTGCCCCCTACTGTGCCAACTTGCTGTGCTTTAGCCACCCGGCACTCCGCTCGTCGTTGTGAGCGTCGCTCCTCCGCCCTCCGTTGTTGTTGGAGGGCGACTGCCTCCAACTGCCCAGTAGCGTCCTTCACGAGCCTCCTCCAGAGGCCGATCTTGACACTGCTGGTACCAGTCATCGGCAAGTCCACTCAGCTCCACGTCCTCCTGTACCACATCACTCCATCTCTTCTCTAGCCTGTGCCGCGCCCGTTTAGCCCCTTGATCCGGCCAAACAAAAGCTGTTTAGTCATGCGGTGGCTGGGCATGCGGGCTACATGACCCAGCCATCGCAGCCTTGCCTGCCGGAGGAGCTCACCGATGGGACTTTGTCCAGATCTTTTAAGGATGTGTGAGCTCCTCACACAATCCAGTCTGGTTAAACCCAGGATGGATCGTAGGCAGGCCAGCCTAAATGTTTCTAACCGGCGAAGATGTTCCATTAGGGGGGGTCCACGTTTCGCAAGCGTAGAGAAGGGAGGGAATGACCGTGGCCGAGAAGACCTGAAGCTTAGTGCGGAGCGACAGACCAGGTAGCTTCCACACAGCGTTACGCAACCAATGAAAAGATATTGCCACACACACGAGCCCACTCGCGCTCACACACGAGCACACACACACATTCGTACTCACAGACACTCGCGCTCACACACACTCGCGCTCACACACACTCGTGCTCACACACGAGCACACACACTCGCGCTCACAGACACTCGTGCTCACACACACGAGCGCAACACTCACTCACACTCCTCCCTCACTCACTCACACTCCTCCCTCACTCACTCACACTCCTCCCTCACTCACTCACACTCCTCCCTCACTCACTCACACTCCTCCCTCACTCACACTCCTCCCTCACTCACTCACACTCTTCCCTCACTTACTCACACTCCTCCCTCACTCCCTCACTCACTTACACTCCTCCCTCACTCACTCACACTCCTCCCTCACTCACTCACACTCCTCCCTCACTCACTCACACTCCTCCCTCACTCACTCACACTCCTCCCTCACTCACTCACACTCCTCCCTCACTCACTCACACTCCTCCCTCACTCACTCACACTCCTCCCTCACTCACTCACACTCCTCCCTCACTCACACTCCTCCCTCACTCACTCACACTCCTCCCTCACTCACTCACACTCCTCCCTCACTCACTCACACTCCTCCCTCACTCACTCACACTCCTCCCTCACTCACTCACACTCCTCCCTCACTCACTCACACTCCTCCCTCACTCACTCACACTCCTCCCTCACTCACTCACTCACACTCCTCCCTCACTCACTCACTCACACTCCTCCCTCACTCACTCACACTCCTCACTCACTCACTCACACTCCTCACTCACTCACTCACACTCCTCCCTCACTCACTCACTCACACTCCTCCCTCACTCACTCACTCACACTCCTCCCTCACTCACTCACACTCCTCCCTCACTCACTCACACTCCTCCCTCACTCACTCACGCTCCTCCCTCACTCACTCACACTCCTCCCTCACTCACTCACACTCCTCCCTCACTCACTCACACTCCTCCCTCACTCACTCACACTCCTCCCTCCCTCACTCACACTCCTCCCTCCCTCCCTCACTCACTCACACTCCTCCCTCACTCACTCACACTCCTCCCTCACTCACACTCCTCCCTCACTCACTCACACTCACTCCTCCCTCACTCACTCACACTCGCTCACCTCATAGTTCTCCACCCTGCTGATGGGCTTCTGGAAGCTGAAGTATTTTTCAAAATTGTTGATGTCCTGGCGTTTGCCGTGGGGGGCCTTCCCGTGGAAGCTACGCGCAGAAAGGCCCCCGTCCCTGGCCCCCTCCTTGCCCTTGTGTAGCGAGGTCTTGGCCGCAGCCGAGAGTGACGATTCGATCATCACCATGGAATTCTCGCACCTGTGGGGGTCGCGGGCAGGGCCGGATTAAGGTTCTTGTAGGCCCTAGGCAATTCTGTGATAACTCTCTACAGTTGCTACTACCATGTCACTACTGCTGCCCCATGTCACTACTACTGCCCCATGTCACTACTGCTGCCCCATGTCACTACTACTGCCCGATGTCACTACTACTGCCCCTTGTCACTACTACTGCCCCATGTCACTACTACTGCCCCATGTCACTACTGCTGCCCCATGTCACTACTACTGCCCCATGTCACTACTACTGCCCCATGTCACTACTACTGCCCCATGTCACTACTACTGCCCCTTGTCACTACTACTGCCCCATGTCACTACCGCTGCCCCATGTCACTACTACTGCCCCATGTCACTGTTGCTGCCCCATGTCACTACTACTGCCCCATGTCACTACTGCTGCCCCATGTCACTACTACTGCCCCATGTCACTACTACTGCCCCATGTCACTACTACTGCCCCTTGTCACTACTACTGCCCCATGTCACTACTACTGCCCCATGTCACTACTGCTGCCCCATGTCACTACTGCTGCCCCATGTCACTGTTGCTGCCCCAAGTCACTGCCGCTGCCCCATGTCACTACTGCTGCCCCACGTCACTACCGCTGCCCCATGTCACTGTTGCTGCCCCAAGTCACTGCCGCTGCCCCATGTCACTACTGCTGCCCCAAGTCACTGCCGCTGCCCCATGTCACTACTACTGCCCCATGTCACTACTACTGCCCCATGTCACTACCGCTGCCCCATGTCACTACTACTGCCCCATGTCACTACTACTGCCCCATGTCACTACTACTGCCCCATGTCACTACTACTGCCCCATGTCACTACCGCTGCCCCATGTCACTACTACTGCCCCATGTCACTACCGCTGCCCCACGTCACTACTACTGCCCCATGTCACTACTGCTGCCCCATGTCACTACTGCTGCCCCATGTCACTACTGCTGCCCCATGTCACTACTACTGCCCCATGTCACTACTACTGCTGCCCCATGTCACTACTGCTGCCCCATGTCACTACTACTGCCCCATGTCACTACTGCTGCCCCATGTCACTACTGCTGCCCCACGTCACTACTACTGCCCCATGTAACTACTGCTGCCCCATGTCACTACTACTGCCCCATGTCACTACCGCTGCCCCACGTCACTACTACTGCCCCATGTCACTACTACTGCCCCATGTCACTACCGCTGCCCCACGTCACTACCACTGCCCCATGTAACTACTGCTGCCCCATGTCACTACTGCTGCCCCATGTCACAACTGCTGCCCCATGTCACTACTACTGCCCCATGTCACTACTACTGCCCCATGTCACTACTACTGCCCCATGTCACTACCGCTGCCCCATGTCACTACTGCTGCCCCATGTCACTACTACTGCCCCATGTCACTACTACTGCCCCATGTCACTACTGCTGCCCATGTCACTACTGCTGCCCCATGTCACTACTGCTGCCCCATGTCACTACTACTGCCCCATGTCACTACTACTGCCCCATGTCACTACTACTGCCCCATGTCACTACTACTGCCCCATGTCACTACTGCTGCCCCATGTCACTACTACTGCCCCATGTCACTACTGCTGCCCCATGTCACTACTGCTGCCCCATGTCACTACTACTGCCCCATGTCACTGTTGCTGCCCCATGTCACTACTACTGCCCCATGTCACTACTACTGCCCCATGTCACTACTGCCCCATGTCACTACCGCTGCCCCATGTCACTACCGCTGCCCCATGTCACTACTGCTGCCCCATGTCACTACTACTGCCCCATGTCACTACTGCTGCCCCATGTCACTACTACTGCCCCATGTCACTACTACTGCCCCATGTCACTACTACTGCCCCATGTCACTACTGCTGCCCCATGTCACTACTACTGCCCCATGTCACTACTACTGCCCCATGTCACTACTACTGCCCCCATGTCACTACTACTTGCCCCATGTCACTACTACTGCCCCATGTCACTACTGCTGCCCCATGTCACTACTACTGCCCCCATGTCACTACTGCTGCCCATGTCACTACTACTGCCCCATGGTCACTGTTGCTGCCCCATGTCACTACTGCTGCCCCATGTCACTACTACTGCCCCATGTCACTACTGCTGCCCCATGTCACTACTACTGCCCCATGTCACTACTACTGCCCCATGTCACTACTGCCCCATGTCACTACCGCTGCCCCATGTCACTACTGCTGCCCCATGTCACTACTACTGCCCCATGTCACTACTGCTGCCCCATGTCACTACTACTGCCCCATGTCACTACTACTGCCCCATGTCACTACTACTGCCCCATGTCACTACCGCTGCCCCATGTCACTACCACTGCCCCATGTCACTACTGCTGCCCCATGTCACTACTGCTGCCCCATGTAACTACTACTGCCCCATGTCACTACTACTGCCCCATGTCACTACCGCTGCCCCATGTCACTACTACTGCCCCATGTCACTACTACTGCCCCATGTCACTACTACTGCCCCATGTCACTACCGCTGCCCCATGTCACTACTACTGCCCCATGTCACTACCGCTGCCCCACGTCACTACTACTGCCCCATGTCACTACTGCTGCCCCATGTCACTACTGCTGCCCCATGTCACTACTGCTGCCCCATGTCACTACTACTGCCCCATGTCACTACTACTGCTGCCCCATGTCACTACTGCTGCCCCATGTCACTACTACTGCCCCATGTCACTACTGCTGCCCCATGTCACTACTGCTGCCCCACGTCACTACTACTGCCCCATGTAACTACTGCTGCCCCATGTCACTACTACTGCCCCATGTCACTACCGCTGCCCCACGTCACTACTACTGCCCCATGTCACTACCGCTGCCCCACGTCACTACCACTGCCCCATGTAACTACTGCTGCCCCATGTCACTACTGCTGCCCCATGTCACAACTGCTGCCCCATGTCACTACTACTGCCCCATGTCACTACTACTGCCCCATGTCACTACTGCTGCCCCATGTCACTACCGCTGCCCCATGTCACTACTGCTGCCCCATGTCACTACTACTGCCCCATGTCACTACTGCTGCCCCATGTCACTACTGCTGCCCCATGTCACTACTGCTGCCCCATGTCACTACCGCTGCCCCATGTCACTACTACTGCCCCATGTCACTACTACTGCCCCATGTCACTACTACTGCCCCATGTCACTACTACTGCCCCATGTCACTACTGCTGCCCCATGTCACTACTACTGCCCCATGTCACTACTGCTGCCCCATGTCACTACTGCTGCCCCATGTCACTACTACTGCCCCATGTCACTGTTGCTGCCCCATGTCACTACTACTGCCCCATGTCACTACTACTGCCCCATGTCACTACTGCCCCATGTCACTACCGCTGCCCCATGTCACTACCGCTGCCCCATGTCACTACTACTGCCCCATGTCACTACTGCTGCCCCATGTCACTACTACTGCCCCATGTCACTACTACTGCCCCATGTCACTACTACTGCCCCATGTCACTACCGCTGCCCCATGTCACTACTACTGCCCCATGTCACTACTACTGCCCCATGTCACTACTACTGCCCCATGTCACTACTACTGCCCCATGTCACTACTACTGCCCCATGTCACTACTGCTGCCCCATGTCACTACTACTGCCCCATGTCACTACTGCTGCCCCATGTCACTACTACTGCCCCATGTCACTGTTGCTGCCCCATGTCACTACTGCTGCCCCATGTCACTACTACTGCCCCATGTCACTACTGCTGCCCCATGTCACTACTACTGCCCCATGTCACTACTACTGCCCCATGTCACTACTGCCCCATGTCACTACCGCTGCCCCATGTCACTACCGCTGCCCCATGTCACTACTGCTGCCCCATGTCACTACTACTGCCCCATGTCACTACTGCTGCCCCATGTCACTACTACTGCCCCATGTCACTACTACTGCCCCATGTCACTACTACTGCCCCATGTCACTACCGCTGCCCCATGTCACTACTACTGCCCCATGTCACTACTGCTGCCCCATGTCACTACTGCTGCCCCATGTAACTACTACTGCCCCATGTCACTACTACTGCCCCATGTCACTACCGCTGCCCCATGTCACTACTACTGCCCCATGTCACTACTACTGCCCCATGTCACTACTGCTGCCCCATGTCACTACTGCTGCCCCATGTCACTACTACTGCCCCATGTCACTACTATTGCCCCATGTCACTACTGCTGCCCCATGTCACTACTACTGCCGCTGGCACTTCGCTTCTTCCGTGCGGTACTTCGTCCAGCCGCTGGACAAGATGTCGTCACCGCTGACGCATTCGCTACTTAGTCCTGCAAGCGAGTCTTCGACAGGAGCCGCCGCTGTCTGCCACGGGTAAGCAGATTTTACTTGAAATTATTAAGAGAAAAAAAAACAAGGTGAGCCCTAAAAATATTGAAAGCGAAAATGTCTTCAACTATCCATAATATCGTTTTTTTTGGGTTAGATTGCGTGTCGTTAAACCCGCCACCACCCGACACAGCCAATTAGGAAGGGGTTTTTTTCACGTAAACAGAACGTGCCAATTCGTTCCTCGTACAGCACACACCGGGTGTGTTGGAGAGAAAATCCACAACATTTACAATCCGAGTACGACGTCACTCCAATAATTACAACTAGCATCATCAGGCGACAGCCAGATTCGTGGAGAAATCCTCCCGTTACTATGATTATCATATCGGATTAGGCAGCTTTAAAGGGATGTTGTTCATTTTTTATCAATCGTAAAAATGTTTTTTTTCCGTAGGCCCTAGGGCGCAGTGCTTACTGTGGCCTATTGGATAATCCAGCCCTGAATTTCGATTTAAAGCTTTCGTGACTGCAATGATTCATCTTCTTTGGTTCTTTCGGTAAAGTCACGTAGAATGAGACTAAAATAATAAATTGATAAAATAAAATAACACAATAATATTCTCACGACGTTTCGGCCACAACACAAGCGGCCTTCATCAGGTGAAGGGACGAGACTGTCTGGTAGGACAGCGCTGGAGTGAAAGAGCCACGTTCAGATCACGGCCTTTAAGCTGTGTGAGAGGAACAAAGTGCCTTGACAAAGGAATTAGCATATAATTTAGCATTGAAATGGCTGAATGATTAGCTTGTGACTGGTCACAGAAATAGCTATGTTAAAAGTTAAAGCATACACATCCGCAGAGGCACCCCTTGATAAAGGAATTAGCATAGAATTTAGCATTGAAATAGCTAAGTTAAAGCATACACATCCGCAGAGGCACCCCTTGACAATGGAATTAGCATAGAATTCCATTGTCAAGGGGTGCCTCTGCCTCTGCGGATGTGTATGCTTTAACTTAGCTATTTCAATGCTAAATTCTATGCTAATTCCTTTATCAAGGGGTGCCTCTGCGGATGTGTATGCTTTAACTTTTAACATAGCTATTTCTGTGACCAGTCACAAGCTAATCATTCAGCCATTTCAATGCTAAATTATATGCTAATTCCTTTGTCAAGGCGCTTTGTTCCTCTCACACAGCTTAAAGGCCGTGATCTGAACGTGGCTCTTTCACTTCAGCGCTGTCCTACCAGACAGTCTCGTCCCTTCACCTGATGAAGGCTGCTTGTGTTGTGGCCGAAACGTCGTGAGAATATTATTGTGTTATTTTATTTTATCAATTTATTATTTTATTCTCATTCTACGTGACTTTACCGAAAGAACCAAAGAAGATTACAGTAAGATTTGGTACAGCACGCAAAATTCAAAAACTAGTATCTTGCACTAAAGACGAATTACCTAAATTATCAACAGAAGGTGTATATTGGATTGATTGTTTATGTGGCAGATGCTATATTGGACAGACGGGACGTAACATCAGCATAAGACTAAAAGAACACCAAAGAAATATTAAATGATCTCAAACACAACTGTCGGCAGTGGCAGAACATGCTTGTCAACAAGGACACTCAATTGATTTTGATAACGTTGAAGTGTTGTGTAAAACTAATTATTACTGGCAAAGACTAATTAGAGAATCCATTGAAATTGAGAGAAATAGAAATAACTTTAATCGCTCTGACAGCTACGGGCTTAGTGCGGCTTGGAAGCGTATTATTAAATAATACATATTACAATTCCTTATAATGGAAACACTTACTAATTAATGGATTACTAACGCAGCATATAATCATAATAACACACATTACAACTAATTACTAATCTACAACTAATTACTAATCATAACCATTGACTGATTACCAATCGATTATATAATTACAATATCCCCCCCCTCCACCTCAAATCACTGCACCTGAATGAGTTAAATGATGACGTCACCCTGCTGCTGCTGCTCTATTGAAGACCGGGAACAAGTGGAGAGGGCTTTACCATTCTGGCGAATTGCCTGATGATGCTGGGGATGTAATTACCAGCAAAGCGTCGTACTCAAACTGTAAATGTTGTGGATTCACTCTTCAACACACCGGTGGGCTAAAGTAGTGAACTATTTGTCTTTTCTCAACGTGACACTTTTTTTGCTGATTGGCCGTGTTAGGTGGTGGAGGGTTACGACACATTTATAAATAACGCGATCTATCCTAAACCTTTATTATGAATCCTATCGTGTTATTTATATTGTTTGTTGTTATCTTCTGACCTGCCCATCCTGGACATCTATGAAAAAAGAGCTTCATAGCTCATCAGACTCCTTCAGTGTAAATAAATATCATGTGCCCATCGATGGGTTTTCTGTGAGGCTTAGACAATCAACTCACTATCGTGAGAACCCTGTTTGATCACAGTTCACTCTGTGCGAGCCTGTGGGTCTCTATGTGAGTCTGTGTGTCTGTGTGAGTCTGTCTCTATGTGAGTCTACGGGTCTCTGTGTGAGTGTGTGTGTATGTGGGTCTCTGTGTGAGTCTATGGGTCTCTGTATGAGTCTACGGGTCTCTGTGCGAGTCTGTGTGTATGTGGGTCTCTGTGTGAGTCTATAGGTCTCTATGTAAATGTATGGGTCTCTATGTGAGTCTATAGGTCTCTATGGGAGTATGTGGGTCTCTGTGTGAGTCTGTGTGTCTCTGTGTGAGTCTATGGGTCTCTATGTAAATGTATGGGTCTCTATGTGAGTCTATAGGTCTCTAAGGGAGTATGTGGATCTGTGTGAGTCTGTGTCTCTGTGCGAGTCTATGGGGCTCTGTGTGAGTCTACGGGTCTCTGTGCGAGTCTGTGTGTATGTGGGTCTCTGTGCGAGTCTATGGGTCTCTATGTAAATATATGGGTCTCTATGTGAGTCTATAGGTCTCTATGGGAGTATGTGGGTCTCTGTGTGAGTCTGTGTGTCTCTGTGTGAGTCTACGGGCCTCTGTGTGAGTCTGTGTGTATGTGGGTCTCTGTGCGAGTCTATGGGTCTCTATGTAAATATATGGGTCTCTATGTGAGTCTATAGGTCTCTATGGGAGTATGTGGGTCTCTGTGTGAGTCTGTGTGTCTCTGTGTGAGTCTACGGGCCTCTGTGTGAGTCTGTGTGTATGTGGGTCTCTGTGTGAGTCTATGGGTCTCTATGTAAATGTATGGGTCTCTATGTGAGTCTATAGGTCTCTATGGGAGTGTGTGGGTCTCTGTGTGAGTCTATGGGCCTCTGTGGTTGGGGCTCCGGGTCTCTTCCTCGTGGGGGAGAGGGGGAGTGTTCGCGACCTCCGGGTGACCTCACATTTTGCGAACCATGTCCATGGTGGCCCTGTCCTTGGCGATGATGTCGGCCAGGATGTGCTGCACGCCGGCCTCCACCTCGGCCAGAGTCGACAAGCCTGGGGCGGAAAATGGGGACACGGAGACATGAAGACACGGAGACATGGGGAGTTACGGAGACATGAAGACACGGAGACATGAAGACACGGAGACATGGGGAGTTACGGAGACATGAAGACACGGAGACATGAAGACACGGAGACATGGGGAGTTACGGAGACATGAAGACACGGAGACATGAAGACACGGAGACATGGGGAGTTACGGAGACATGAAGACACGGAGACATGAAGACACGGAGACATGGGGAGTTACGGAGATATGAAGACACGGAGACATGAAGACACGGAGACATAGGGAGTTACGGAGACATGAAGACACGGAGACATGAAGACACGGAGACATGGGGAGTTACGGAGACATGAAGACACGGAGACATGAAGACACGGAGACATGGGGAGTTACGGAGACATGAAGACACGGAGACATGAAGACACGGAGACATAGGGAGTTACGGAGACATGAAGACACGGAGACATGAAGACACGGAGACATGGGGAGTTACGGAGACATGAAGACACGGAGACATGAAGACACGGAGACATGAAGACACGGAGACATGGGGAGTTACGGAGACATGAAGACACGGAGACATGAAGACACGGAGACATGGGGAGTTACGGAGACATGAAGACACGGAGACATGAAGACACGGAGACATGAAGACACGGAGACATGAAGACACGGAGACATGGGGAGTTACGGAGACATGAAGACACGGAGACATGGGGAGTTACGGAGACATGAAGACACGGAGACACGGAGACATGGGGAGTTACGGAGACATGAAGACACGGAGACATGAAGACACGGAGACACGGAGACATGGGGAGTTACGGAGACATGAAGACACGGAGACATGGGGAGTTACGGAGACATGAAGACACGGAGACATGGGGAGTGACGGAGACATGAAGACACGGAGACATGGGGAGTGACGGAGACATGAAGACACGGAGACATGGGGAGTTACGGAGACATGAAGAGTTACGGAGACATGAAGACACGGAGACATGGGGAGTTACGGAGACATGGGGAGTTACGGAGACATGAAGACACGGAGACATGGGGAGTTACGGAGACATGGGGAGTTACGGAGACATGAAGACACGGAGACATGGGGAGTTACGGAGACATGAAGAGTTACGGAGACATGAAGACATGGGGAGTTACGGAGACATGAAGAGTTACGGAGACATGGGGAGTTACGGAGACATGAAGACACGGAGACATGGGGAGTTACGGAGACATGAAGACGCGGAGACATGGGGAGTTACGGAGACATGAAGACACGGAGACATGGGGAGTTACGGAGACATGAAGACGCGGAGACATGGGGAGTTACGGAGACATGAAGACGCGGAGACGCGGGGAGTTACAGAGACACGGAGACACGGGGACACGAGGACACGGGGCCACGGGGATATGTAGACATGAGGACATTGTGACACGGGGACACGGGTAGATGGGGACACGGCGATATAGGGACACAGAGACACGGGGATATGGAGACACGGGGACACGGTGACATGGGGGACACCGAGACATGTCGACATGAAAACACGGGAGACACGGGGACACAAAGGGTCCCCTCCTCTGTGATGGCAGTGGTCGTACCTGGCTCTGCGGGTCGCACCAGTGCCACCATGTCGAGTCTGTGCGGTTCCGTGAGCACCGTCTGCGCCGCAGCCTCCAGGCCGAGACGCCGCGCCCGCTCAGCCTTGCTCTGCCTGCTGCTCGTCTTCAACGGCGCCACCTGCAAAACAAAAAAGACAAAGATCCCCAGCGTAGCCTCAACAGACCGTTGGGGCAAGTGCTGTAAGCGAGTGGCCAGCGCCACGACCTTTTTACACAACGCACCGCGCCAGCACTCATTTGAGGCCGAGTCGACCTAGGGGAGACCCAGTACCGATTCGGATCATCGTCACACACGCACGCACACACACACACCTACACACACACGTACACACATGCACGCATGCATACACACACAGTGTGTATATTGTGTACGGTGTGTGTACTGTGTATGGTGTGCATCACGTACTGCGTTTGTACCGTGTACTGCGGACTGCATGTGTACTATGTACTGCATACTGCATGTGTACTACGTACTGCATACTGCATGTGTACTATGTACTGCATACTGCATGTGTACTATGTACTGCATACTGCATGTGTACTATGTACTGCATACTACATGTGTACGATGTACTGCGTGTGTACTGTAAACTGTGTGTACTGTGTACGGTGTGTGTACTGCGTGCGAGTCTCACAAGGATCTCTAACTCCTCCACACAGCGACATTCCTGCAGTGCCTGCTGCAGGCGAGCAGTCAGCTGATCATCCTTCTGGAGGGTCGCAACGGCGCTCTTAACCTTCTTCTGCACAGCCCTGCAGCACGCAGTACACACAGACACAGTGCACACAGACACAGTACACACAGTACATACACACAGTGCACACAGTACACACACAGTACACACAGTGCACATAGTACACACAGTACACACAGTGCACACAGTACATACACACAGTACACACAGTACAGTACACACAGTACACACAGTACACACACAGTGCACACAGTACACACACAGTACACACACAGTACGTACACACGCAGTACACACACACAGTACACACGCAGTACACACACACACACACACAATACACAGTACACACACAATATACACACGCACGCACACAGTACACGCACACACACAGTACACACAGTACACACGCACGCACACAGTACACGCACACAGTACACACGCAGTACACACACACGCAGTACACACGCACGCACACAGTACACGCACACAGTACACACGCAGTACACACGCAGTACACACAGTACACACGCAGTACACACACACAGTACACACAGTACACACGCAGTACATACTCGCATACTACACACACCGTACACACGCAGTACACATACACACAGTACACACAGTAAACACGCAGTACACACGCACAGTACACACACACAATACACACATGACACACGCAGTACACACACAACGTACACACAGTACAGTACACACAGTACACACGCACACACACAGTACACACGGTACAGTACACACACAGTACACACACACAGTACACACACATAGTACACACACAGTACACACACGCAGTACACACAGTACACACGCAGTACACACGCACAGTACACACACGCAGTACACACGCAGTACACACGCAGTACACACGCAGTACACACAATACACACGCAGTACCTACAGTACACACGCAGAACACACGCACTACACACACACAGTACACACGCACTACACACACACTACACAGTACACACACACAGTACACACACACAGTACACACGCACACAGTACACACACACAGCACACACACAGTACACACACACACACAGTACACACACACACAGTACACACTGTGTACACACACACTGTACACACTGTGTACACACACGCACCGTACACACGCACCGTACACACACATACAGTACATACTGCACACACACACACACAGCACACACACTTACATACAGTACATAGTGCACATACACAGTACACATACACAGTATACACACATACAGCACATACATTTACATACCGTACATACTGCACATACACACAGTACACATACACAGTACACACACAAACAGTACATACTGCACATACACATAGTACACACACACAGGACACACACACAGTACACACTGCACATACACACAGTACACATACACACAGTAGACAGACATACAGTACATACTGCACATACACACAGTACACACTGCACATATACACAGTACATGCTGCACATATCCACAGTACACATACACACAGTACATACTGCACATATACACAGTACACATACACACAGTACACACAGTAGACAGACATACAGTACATACTGCACATACACAGTACACACACACACAGTACACATACACACAATACACAGTACATACTGCACATATACACAGTACACATACACAGTACACACAGTAAACAGACATACAGTACATACTGCACATACACACAGTACACACACAGTACACACACACAGTGCACAGACATACAGTACATACTGCACATCCACACAGTACACACACACAATACGCAGACATACAGTACATACTGCACATACACACAGTACGCACAGTACACACACACAAAGTACGCACAGTACACAGTACACACACACAGTACATACTGCACATATACACAGTACACATACACACAGTACACACAGTAGACAGACATACAGTACATACTGCACATACACACAGTACGCACAGTACACACACACAAAGTACGCACAGTACACAGTACATACTGCACATATACACAGTACACATACACACAGTACACACAGTAGACAGACATACAGTACATACTGCACATACACACAGTACACACGTAGTAAACACACACATTACACACTGCACATACACACAGTACACACAGTAGACAGACATACAGTACATACTGCACATACACACAGTACACACACACACAGTACACACACACAGTACATACTGCACATACACACAGTACACACACACACACAGTACGCAGACATACAGTACATACTGCACATACACACAGTATGTACACACACAGTACGCACAGTACACGCAGACACAGTACACAGACCACACACACTGTACACAGACACACAGTACACAGACACACAGTACAAAGACACAGAGTACACATACACAGTACACACACACACACACAGTACACAGACATACAGCCCTTCGATGAGGAGCAGGTCCATCGTCAAAGCCAGGAGGAGGAGGAGGTGTGCGACGACGTTTCGTGTCTCGTGTGCGCTACGACAAAGATGGCGACGATGTTTAATTACCGCAGCTGGTGGACGCTCTCCTCCACCTGCCTCAGCATGTCGGCGTCCATGTCGTTGGTTAACTCACGGCGGTAGCGTGCGATGAAGGGGATCGTGTACTCCTCGTCCAACAACCGCACCACCTGCTGCACCACGCCCTCCGACAGCGCTAACTGCCTCGCCACCGCCTGAGCCAGCAAGCGAGAGCAAGAGAACCCGTCAGCCCCTCCACCGCCTGAGTCGGCGAGCGTGAGCGTGAGAACCTGTCAGCCCCACCAACGCCTGAGTCGGCGAGCGTGAGCAAGTGAACCCGTCAGCCCCACCAACGCCTGAGTCGGCGAGCGTGAGCGTGAGAACCTGTCAGCCCCACCAACGCCTGAGTCGGCGAGCGTGAGCAAGTGAACCCGTCAGCCCCTCCACTGCCTGAGCCGGCGAGCGTGAGCAAGTGAACCCGTCAGCCCCACCAACGCCTGAGTCGGCGAGCGTGAGCGTGAGAACCTGTCAGCCCCTCCACCGCCTGAGCTGGCGAGCGTGAGCAAGTGAACCCGTCAGCCCCGCCACCGCCTGAGCCGGCGAGCGTGAGCAAGTGAACCCGTCAGCCCCACCACCGCCTGAGCCGGCGAGCGTGAGCAAGTGAACCCGTCAGCCCCTCCAACGCCTGAGCCGGCGAGCGAGAGAACCCGTCAGCCCCTCCACCGCCTGAGCCGGCGAGCGTGAGCAAGTGAACCCGTCAGCCCCTCCACCGCCTGAGCCGGGGAGCGTGAGCAAGAGAACCCGTCAGCCCCTCCACTGCCTGAGCCAGTGAGCGTGAGAACCCGTCAGCCCCTCCACCGCCTGGTATGCAGGAGATCAGGGGCTTGATCCCGACTCTGACGCCTGCTGCTGTATATTTGGAATTTGCGTGCCTTTCTCCAGATGGTCGCGTGGATTTTTTCTCCGGGTTGTCTGGTTTTTCCCTCCACATTTAAAAACGTGCATTGAGATTGTTCATATTATTTTGCTGCTATAAATGTCCACACGATAAGACACTTTGTTGAGCTATCATTTGTGGCCAGGTCGCTTCTGAAAAATAAGTTAATTCCTCAGTGGGCTTTGCTTGCTAGGAAGGGGATGGTTTAGTTGTTGTATTTGTTTGTGTGATTTGTTGACCTTTCTCGTATTTTGCACTCCTATTGTGTTTTTTGTTCTGTTTGATGTCGTAACATTCTTACCCCGTGCCCCTGCTGGACATCTTTTGAACAATAACTTAATAGCTCATCGGATTCCTTCTACAGGCGTAAATAAATATTCCGTTTCTGTTTGTCGTCGGAAGATCTCCACCACCCGTCCCCCGGCCCCAAAGGGATGAAAGCGCCGCCAACGGGGTTACGGCGGTGTTGTCGTCGCGCCAATCCATCGATGGCGACCCTCCGGTTCCAGAAGTCCTCAAGTCGGAATGTGGCGGCGGTCACCTGAACTCGGCTTATTCAACGGTTTGCGTCGTGAGCTCACAGGAACAACCCATCAGATTGAAGTGACGTATATAACGTATGCAAGTTTTACGTGTTCAAACGTTATTATCATTCATATTCTTTGGGTCTTTCGGTAAAGTCGTGTGGATCGGTTCAAAGAAAATAACAAAAAATAACTAAATAAACTACGACGTTTCGATCGCAACACAAGCGGTCACCTTCTTTCCTGATGACGACCGCAGTCACAAAGCTTTAAGTCAAGATTTATTATAATTTGTCTGGGCCAATGGTCAAACATTGAGTCCATTACTAGTCATATGCAATCGTGAATATCACAGCGAGCAGAGTGGCTGCATTCTAATAACCCAAGAGAAAAAAAGTATTCGGTGCAATTGGGTTGTTAACCGGTAACCGTTCTCAGAATCCGTTAACCGGTTTCCGAAAGTCAAAACCGGTGGGATGTTGGCGACCGAACGTGCCAGTTGTCACGCGCCAATAACTGCACGCCCGCGCAATTGCCGGCGGCAGAGCCTCCAATTGAGGGAGCTCTACGGGGTATTTGGCCGACTCTTTTGCGCTGACAAAGGTGGACTCCGTCCACGAGGAGGGCAGAAGGGTGGGAACGGTCAGAGCACCACTGCTCATTCTCACCTGAGCGACCGTCCAGCTCACAGCCACCGGCTCCTTCTTCACGTGGGGTCCCGTGGCAGAGTCCGAGTGTGGTTCCTTCTTCACGTGGGGTCCCGTGGCAGAGTGCGAGTGTGGCTCCTTCTTCACGTGGGGTCCCGTGGCAGAGTCTGAGTGTGGCTCCTTCTTCACGTGGGGCCCCGTGGCAGAGTCTGAGTGTGGCTCCTTCTTCACGTGGGGTCCCGTGGCAGAGTCCGAGTGTGGCTCCTTTTTCACGTGGGGCCCCGTGGCAGAGTGCGAGTGTGGCTCCCTGTTCGTGCTGGTGTGAGGGTCTGGTTTGATCGCCAGAGCCTGGGGGTGAGGGAGGGGGGGAATGATATTGAGTCAGGTTACGGCCATATGACCAAGTTCAATGTCGGAACAGGAGAGACATCCACGGTGAGCGAGTGAGTGAGTTGTGAGCGAGTGTGTTACTGAGTGAGCGAGCGAGTGGCGAGTGTTTTAGTGTGAGTGAGCGAGTGTGTTACTGAGTGAGCGAGTGTGTTACTGAGTGAGCGAGTGAGTAGTGAGCGAGTGTTTTAGTGTGAGTGAGTGAGTGTGTTACTGAGTGAGCGAGTGTGTTACTGAGTGAGCGAGTGAGTAGCGAGCGAGTGTTTTAGTGTGAGTGAGCGAGTGTGTTACTGAGTGAGTGAGCAAGTGGTGAGCGAGTGCATTACCGAATGAGTGAGCGAGCGAGTCGTGAGCCAGTGTGTTACTGAGTGAGCGAGCGAGTGGTGAGCGACTGCGTTAGTGTGAGTGAGCGAGCGAGCGGCGCTCCCCCCACCCTCCCTCACCTGCCCTGCCACCCCGATGGCGATCCCAGCGAGAGCCCCCCTCCCAGGAGACCACGGTGGCTCCTCCTTCACTGCCACGGGCTTCCTTGGCGAAAGGGTTTCAGGCTTCTCTCGGGCCTTCGTTGCCTTTGGGATCTTGGGGGCCTTGGGTTCCTTGGGGGCCTTAGGGACTCTGGGAGCCCTGGGGGCCTTGGGTTCCTTGGGGGCCTTAGGGACTCTGGGAGCCCTGGGGGCCTTAGGGACTCTGGGAGCCCTGGGGGCCTTGGGTTCCTTGGGGGCCTTAGGGACTCTGGGAGCCCTGGGGGCCGCTGGTCTTTTGGCCCTCTTGGCAGGGGTCTCGGTGTCGTCGCTCCCCGAGTCAGCGTGGAGCCGCCTCTTGGCGCCGCCGGGCTTCTTGGGCCTGCTGGGAGCAACAACGGTCAGGGGCACGAGAGGGCGGAGGGCGATGCTGAACGGGGAGTTGTAGAAGCTAAACTGCAACTCGGCATGGAACCCATGTGCCCATACGTGTGTGTGTGGATGTGTGTGTGTGTCTTTGTGTCTGTACATGTGTCCTCTATGGGGAGTGGCGGTGTGGCGGTAGCGCGCTGCGCTACGAACCTGGTGACCCGAGTTCGATTCCCGCTCACAGCCAACACCAGTGACAATTATTTGAGCCGGTCCTGGGCCTACCCTAGGTCGACTCAGCCTCAAATGAGTACCTGGTATGGTGTGCAAACATCGCCACTGGGGAGACAAAGGCGGCCTTGTGTGGTGCTGGCCACCCACCCCCTTGTGTGCCGTGCCGGCCTGCATAGGTGCTTGCTAACAGCACTTACCCCAACAGCCTGTTAAGGCTAAATATGTGCAGTGACATGGAATTGATCACTACGTAGCATGGCGCTGTTTGCTGGCAGAGAAAGAGATCTGCAGTTGCAGCAGCCCTGTCTGACAGCAGGTCACGTGATAAACCAGAGAGAGAGATGTCGGGGAAAGGTCACAGAAGGGGCCCATCGGGCAGCCCCGGGAACCCGCTAGTAGGTTCTAGAAGGGGGGCGTGGCCAGGGCGGAGCGATGCCACACTGGGCAGATAAAAGGGGACCCCGAGCGAAGGCTCGGGGCTGTTGCCTGGAGTGGGATCCCATCGTGCTGCTGGAATCTTCGCCGCCGGCTTCATCTGCTCGTTACCGTCAGTCAGGCAGTCTGCCAGCTGTCCTGACTGGGGGCTGTAGTTACTCTGTGTGGACTGTGAAGGCTGTTAATAAATAGAGTACCTCCTACTCTTAGTGTCTCTGTGTCAGTCACTACAAATGTGTAGTGACATTATTGGTGTCACTATGGCGCTTGGCGCCAGCTACAGTCGCAGCAGTGAAAACTTACGTCGGGAGTCACCAGAGGTTGATATAGAAGCTGGATATCGGGGGCATGGTTCTGGTGAGGGTTTAAGGAGATCAAGTGAGGATGTGATACTCCGTCTGAACCCGAGAGAGCAGATGACCAAGACAGGGTAGCAAGGGGGCCGAAGGGACTCGAGGGATACGTGACGTGGAGCCGAGAGCCTTCTAGCAAGATCCAGAAGGGGGCGTAGCCGAGGGCGGAGCGAGGCCACGCTCGGGGAGGACAAAGGGGAAGCCCTGAGAGTGATCGGGGCTCGTCTGTGGCATCAACCCTGGGTGATACGTCTCTTCGGTCGTCGGTCTTCGCTCGGCATCGTGGGTCAGGCAGCGTATATGCTGGCTGACCCATTCATGTAGTTAACCCGCTGCTCACATAGTTAATCGTGCAGCTATCACCTAGCAGTAGAACCAGTGTAGGTTTAGTAAGTTACACTGTTGGGGAGTTGTAATAAACGTGTTGCCTCCAAGTTCAAGTGTGTGTCTCTATGATCAGCACTACACGTGACCATACATGTGTGTGTGGATATAAGTGTATGTGTCTGTGGGTGTGTACGTGTGTGTCCGACAACACAACCTCCTACATCCTCGGGGGTGCTGAACGGTAACGCTGTGATGAGCAGTGCCATGGGGGGGGAAGGCCAATTCAATTGGCCATTCCCCTCTTGGCATTTGTAGCGATCACAGTGGCCAAAAGGGGGCTCTGGATGGGTGCGAGGAGCTGGTAACCTCTCTACCTTCAACCTAACTACCACGAAACTACGTGGAAAAAATCTAACTAAGCAAGTACCGGAGGCCCCGGGGAGACGGGCGTCTATGACATCTCCTGGCCAAACCCCACTTGGCGGAGTGAGGAGACCGAATCTTACCCTCGAGGCTCCTCCAGAAACAGCAAAAAGCCATTGTGAGTGGCCACGTGGAATGTTTGAACGCTCACTGCGGAGGAGAGGCTGCCACTCCTCTGTCGGGAGCTGGACCTGTACTGCCTGGATCTCTGCGGTTTTCAGGAGGTCCGGTGGACCGGCTTTGGCTCCTGCCACCATGAGGGGTGGACAGTCCTCTACTCGGGGCAAGAGACTGCCAAACAACAGGAAGTGTCTCTTCTGAACAAAAGAATGAAGGAGGCGTGGGAGCATGGCGGTGAGGTGAGGGAAGCTGTAAACCCCATGCTACTATGGGCTCGCCTTCCCATCAACCAGAGGCGAGGAGTGGTGGTGGTTAGTTATGCCCCCACCGAAGACGAACATCCGTGGAGGGATGCAGGCAAAGCCGATGAGTCAGATGCCTTCTATGACCTCCTGTCACAGGTGCTTTCTAAAGTTGCCCCACGGGATAGAGTCATCTTGTTGGGTGACTTTAATGTCCGAGTGGGTCATGATGCTGGTACCTGGGCTGGAGTAATTGGAAGGCATAGGCCAGATCAGCTCAATAACAACGGCAGGAGTCTGCTAGATGTTTGTGCAGCCCATGGGCTTGTAATTACCAACACGCCGGATCCAAGCAAGAAAATGTGTTCCACTATATATTGATGGCAGAGTGGATGCGGGCCCATGTCCTTGACACCAGGACCTACCGCAGCTTTCGCTCGGAGGTTCGGAGATCCGTGCGGCGCTGCAAGGATATGTGATGGTCGCGGGTTGCTGAGGAGATGGAGTCTGCTTCAGTACCCCGCGATTCCAAATCACTCTTTAACTCTATCAAAAAAGTTACTTTCAGCCCCACACCTATCACCATCATTATAGGAAAGAACGGTGATCCAATCTCCAACCCCCAGGAACAGGTTTGCAGATTTGCTGAGCATTTCTCTGATCTCTTGGGGAAGGTTAAATCCCTCAACCTGGAAAACATCATGGGGCAAAGTGGGGATGACCCTGCTGAGGCCTCAAATATTGGAAGAAGTTGTCACCCCCTGCAAGTGGCTGGCTGAGGTGCCATCTGTTGAGGAAGTGCAGAAGGCAATCTGGAATCTTAGACCAGGAAAAGCGTGGGGCACAGATGATCTCCCAAGCAAAATGCTGAGGGAGGGTGGCGTTTGTGCACAGACTGCCCTATATGACATCGTAATAACAGTCTAGACCACTGGGTGGGTTCCGCAGGATTGGAATGATGCCCTGGTGATCCCCCCTCTTTAAGAAGGGGGACCGCACAGACTGTAACAACTACAGTGGCATCTGCTTCCTCATTGTGTTGGGAAAGGTCCTAGCAAGGATTATTCAACATCGCCTTGCTAGGCACGCTGAGGAGAGGCTTGCAGAGCCCCAATGTGGTTTCAGGCCAAGGCAGAGCTGCACGGATGCCATATTTTATGTCCATCTGCTACAACAGAGGTGTAGCGAATTCTAACAGGACCTACGTCTCTGCTTTATTGACCTGGTCAAGGCCTATGATACAATCAGTGGGCCTGGGCTCTGGGGTTGTTCTTTGTGCTTTCGAAGTCCCTGACTCTCCGCTCACAATCATTAAGGACCTTCATGATGGTGGGCCGGCCCCTGGAAAAACTACGTGGACCACCAAGGCATCCTTCCAATCGACGCAGGGCAGGCAGCCCAATCGCGGCACCAGCTGGAAAGACAAAGGTAACTTGCAACAACGGGATCGTGGCCGCGACACCGTATCTGTGACCCCGTGGCGCAGTGTCTGCAACCAGTCGCTGAAAAGCGTAAAAAAACTATTTTAATTTTGAATTTTATCATTGTGGAGAGGGTGGATAAGTTTTCGTACTTGGGGCAGAGCGTTTATGACCAGCTCTAGTTTAGCAGTCGAGGTCTCACTCCGAATCGAGTCGAGCGGCATTATTGTAACGCTGATGTCGATGTTTCCTGACCCTGTGGCTCAATACAAAAGCTCTGTGTCTTCTCACCCACGGTAATGCCTTCCCTTTTCTAAGCTTGCAAAACGTGAGACCCTCTAAAGGAACGATCTAAGTATTGTTTATTTTACCACGTAAGGCCCCACTGAGCTGGGCAGCTCTTTTTTCAGAAGTGACCTGGCCATCGCAAAGAGACAGCTCGAAACAAAGTGAGGCTTATCGTCGCGTGGACATTTATAGTGACCAAATGCTCTAAGTAGAGGCCGAAAATCGGTTTCGGCGCCGAAAGTTGGCAAATGGCCTCTTTCGGCATAGTTTCGGTTTCGGCCGAAAGTCAATATTTAACTTTCGGTCTAGTTTCGGTTTCAGCCGAAACTGTCGGTCATTCGTCAACCGAAGATCTATTTTTAGAATATAACGCTAGTGCTCCGTCTATTGCCTATCGGCCGGTTAGTCGGCGCTAGGTAATCTTATGCGATAGGCTGTAAACACACACACACAAACATACACACATACACACACGTCAGCAGCAGCAGCAGCTTAGGAGCGAGGTTACAGCTGCAGCCATGGTCTGCTAATGTAGATACGACCGGTCGACAGACGACAGCCCGTCTGGCTGAATGCGGAAACAACTGTTGTTTCTTAACTACAACATTCGTTTGTTTAGATATAATTACTACGTAAGTAACACCTAAAGATTTAATATTTAGCAACTCTTACTGCAGGCTCTGAATTATCAGTTCTAGATTCATTTTTAATTAAAGTAGCATTGCATCATGACATTTCATTATTCTTGTGTTCGGTAACTTCGGTTATATTCCTTTCTGTTTCGGTCTCGGTCGAAAGTGTCGTTAGGGGCCGTCCATAAATGACATCACGCGATTTTGGACGTTTTCCCCCCCCCCCCCCTCGTCACACGGCGTCACAAAAAGTCAAACCCCCCCCTCAAATATGACGTCACAAAGCTCTGCCCCTCCCCCCCCCCCCAAAAAGAAAACATGCTTCAAATCGCTTTAAACTATTGTCATTCTAGTGCGTATTTTATGTGCCGCTGCACTCTGATGTTGTAGGAGAAAACATTTATTAAAAAGTCTATTTAATTAAGTAGAACGTGTTGTCCATATTTATTTAAAGTTGCGCATTTTGATGTGACGTCACATATCTCAAACCCCCCCCCTCGTCACAAATGCCTGACCCCCCCCCTCCCCCCAGGTGCGTGACGTCATTTATGGACGGCCCCTTAAACTTTCGGCTTTGGTTTTGGCCGAAACCAAAAAATCAGTTTCGGTCGGCCTCTAGCTCTAAGCACATGGTGATGTTGATTCTAATTGTGGAGGGAAAAAGCGGAGGACCCGGAGAAAAATCCACACGACCACAGGGAGAGAGAGAGAGACAACTTAAAATATGCATCAGGGGTCAGGGTCGCGATCGAAGCCATGACCGCTTGTGTATCGGGTGCAGTAGTTAACATCTCCCAGCCACCGTGTCACCAAAACGATGGCGTTCACAGTTCCCCGGATCGTTCCCACATCCTCACGTGTCATTGTCGCTTGGCGTCCATTCCTCGTGGTCCGACATCGACTCTTGATCGTCTTGATCGTCATCCTCGTCGTGGAGGATGATCGCTGCCTTCCTGTTTGGCCGCAGTCGCTCCATCAACGCCACCAGCAACGTCTGCTCGGGGGAGACGCCTGAAACACACGACACACCACAATCCTCATCAGCACTGCCAACATCCTCATTATCATCATTATCATCATCATCATCATCACCGCCACCATCCTCATTATCATCATCACCACCATCATCACCACCACCAACGTTATTATCATCACTGCCAACATCCTCATACTCATTATCACCATCGCCACCATCCTCATTATCATAATTACCATCACCACCATTATTATGATTATCATCATCAGCGCTGGTAACACACGTGCCTCATAGAAGGAAGATCCTGGGTTCAACTTCAGACTCGGGTGCCTCTCTCTGGCGAGATGTTAACTACCTCACCTGGTATACAGGAGGTGGGTTGGTTCGATCCCGACTCTGATGATGCCTACTGTATATTTGGAGTCTGTGTCTCTCTCTCTCCCCGTGTTTTTTTTTTAATCTGGGTCCGCCAGTTATTCCCTCCACAATTAGAATCAACATCACGCGTTGAGAATATTTTGGTCGCTATAAACTTCCACGCAATGATGTTGATAGCCACTTTATTGAGCTATAATTTGTGATGGCCAGGTAGGTCACATCTGAAAAAAGAGCTACACAGCTCTCAGCAAGGCCTTACACCTGATAAATAGAACAGAGTTTAGCACAATAACCCCACCAATAATAGATATCCATTGTAATTGATTTGAATCCATACTCGGTTCTTGCGGTAAAGTCACGTAGGTATCAAATAGAATAAATCACGACGTTTTGGGTACAAAACAAGCGTCCTTCATCAGGTGGGAAAGCATGGTCCTGCTGCTGAGCCAGCAGACCGAAACGTCGTGATTTATTTTCTAGCTACTACGTGACTTTACCGAAAGAACCAAAGAATATGGATTCCTGCAGTCAGGAAAGCTTCAAATCAAGATTGTCCGAACACATTAACCCCCCCCCCACCCCCCATTCGGGTCTTGGCACCTGATTGGCTCACTATTGACGACATCATATGTATCCCCCCCGTCTGTTTAAGACCAAACCAGGAGGAGGATTTCTCTACAACTCCTGGCTGTGGCCTGATGATGCTACTGCTCGTTGCTGTTGTTGTTTAAAATACCAGTGAAAAGTCACGGTACTCGAACTGTAAATGTTATAGTGGGTTTACTCTCCAACACACAACCAGTTTAGTGCTGAACTTTTAAAGAATTGGCACCTTTTGTTTAACATGACAAACCCTTACTGATTGGCTGTGTCGGGTGGTAGTGGGTTTAAAGACGCATGAATATCATCATTAGACCTCCTTTGCCAGTACCAAAATGTAATAGGGTTTTTCCCCTTTTTTCTGGCAACAAAACTGAAACCTTTTTACAAGGATTCCTGTCTGCATTAACCACAATATATTTTCATAGTATGTTTTTTTGTTTGCATTTTGACTGCAGGTATTGTGGTTAATGCAGACATGAATCCTTGTAAAAAGGTTTCAGTTTTGTTGCCAGAAAAAGGGGAAAAACCCTATTATGACACATGAATATTTACGCAATTTAACTGAACAGAAAAAAGACCTCTATAATGGGAAAAATAGTTACGATAGCTAGTTAAGATAGATGTTCTCACCTGTTCTACATGGGCTTTCTCTAGGAGCTCCGCTAGCTAAAATAAAAGCCACAACTATATAACAGCCATTGACCAAACCACATACCTAATGCTCAAAAGTTCCCTCCAAAACCCCACAATTGGGGTCAGAGAGCCACAGCAGAGACGTCGCCCACACCCCACCACCACCACCACCGTCGTGATACCTCGGCAGGGCCCTGCTGGAAGACATCAGTGGGGATGTATCAGTCATCATTGCATTCACAGCAGCCACGCTGTACACAGCAGTACACAGTAGCTACGCGTACACAGTAGTACACAGTAGCTATGTGTACACAGCAGTACACAGTAGCTATGTGTACAAAGCAGTACACAGTAGCTACGTGTACACAGCAGTACATAGTAGCTACGTGTACACAGTAGTACATAGTAGCTACGTGTACACAGTAGAACATAGTAGCTACGTGTACACAGTAGAACATAGTGGCTACTGTGTACACAGCAGTAAACAGTAGCTACGTGTACATAGCAGTACACAGCAGTACATAGTAGCTACGTGTACACAGCAGTACACAGTAGCTGTGTACACAGCAGTACACAGTAGCTACGTGTACACAGCAGCACACAGCAATACACAGTAGCTACGTGTACACAACAGTACACAGTAGCTACGTGTACACAGCAGTAGACAGTAGCTACGTGTACACAGCAGTACAAGTAGCAACGTGTACACAGCAGTACACAGTAACTACGTGTACACAGCAGTACACAGTAGCTACGTGTACACAGCAGTACAAGTAGCTACGTGTACACAGTACAAAGTAACTACGTGTACACAGCAGTACATAGTAGCTACATGTACACAGCAGTACACAGTAGCTACGTGTACACAGCAGTACACAGTAGCTACATGTACACAGCAGTACAAGTAGCTACATGTACACAGTAGTACACGGTAGCTACGTGTACACAGTAGAACATAGTAGCTACGTGTACACAGTAGAACATAGTGGCTACTGTGTACACAGCAGTACACAGTAGCTACGTGTACATAGCAGTACACAGCAGTACATAGTAGCTACGTGTACACAGCAGTACACAGTAGCTATGTGTACACAGCAGTACATAGTAGCTACGTGTACACAGGAGTACACAGCAATACACAGTAGCTACGTATACACAACAGTACACAGTAGCTACGTGTACACAGCAGTACACAGTAGCTATGTGTACACAGCAGTACACAGTAACTACGTGTACACACCAGTACACAGCAGCTACGTGTACACAGTAGTACACGTAGCTACGTGTACACAGCAGTACAAGTAGCTACGTGTACACAGTACACAGTAACTACGTGTACACAGCAGTACAAAGCAGTACACAGTAGCTACGTGTACACAGCAGTACATAGTAGCTACTGTGAGGGAAAAAAGTATTTGATCCCCTGCTGCTTTTGTACGTTTGCCCACTGACAAAGAAATGATCAGTCTATAATTTTAATGGTAGGTTTATTTGAACAGTGAGAGACAGAATAACAACAAAAATCCAGAAAAACGCATGTCAGAAATGTTAGAAATTTATTTGCATTTTAATGAGGGAAATAAGTATTTGACCCCCTCTCAATCAGAAAGATTTCTGGCTCCCAGGTGTCTTTTATACAGGTAACGAGCTACGTGTACAAAGCAGTACACAACAGTACACAACAGTACACAGTAGCTACACAGCAGTACACAGTAGCTACGTGTACACAACAGTACACAGCAGTACACAGTAGCTACGTGTACACAGCAGTACACAACAGTACACAGCAGCTACACAGTAGCTACGTGTACACAACAGTACACAGTAGCTACGTGTACACAACAGTACACAGTAGCTACACAGCAGTACACAGTAGCTACGTGTACACAACAGTACACAGCAGTACACAGTAGCTACGTGTACACAACAGTACACAGCAGTACACAGTAGCTACGTGTACACAACAGTAGGTACACAGTAGCTACGTGTACACAACAGTACACAACAGTAGGTACACAGTAGCTACACAACAGTACACAACAGTACACAGTAGGTACATAGCAGTACACAGTACCTACTGTGTACACAGTAGGTACACAGTACACAGTAGTGTACACAGTAGGTACACAGTACACAGTAGTGTACACAGTAGGTACTGTGTACACAGTAGGTACTGTGTACACAGTAGGTACACAGTAGTGCACACAGTAGGTACTGTGTACACAGTAGGTACACAGTAGTGTACACAGTAGGTACTGTGTACACAGTAGGTACACAGTACACAGTAGGTACACAGTACACAGTAGTGTACATAGTAGGTACTGTGTACAGTAGGTACTGTGTACACAGTAGGTACAGTGTACACAGTAGGTACACAGCAGTAGGTACTGTGTACACAGCAGTAGGTACTGTGTACACAGCAGTAGGTACTGTGTACACAGTAGGTAGTGTGTACACAGTAGGTACACAGTACACAGTAGGTACTGTGTACACAGTAGGTACACAGCAGTAAGTACTGTGTACACAGCAGTAGGTACTGTGTACACAGCAGTACACAGTACACAGTAGTGTACACAGTAGGTACTGTGTACACTGCAGTAGGTACTGTGTACACAGCAGTACACAGTACACAGTAGTGTACACAGTAGGTACTGTGTACACAGTAGGTACACAGTAGTGTACACAGCAGTAGGTACTGTGTACACAGCAGTAGGTACTGTGTACACAGCAGGTACACAGTAGTGTACACAGCAGTAGGTACTGTGTACACAGCAGTAGGTACTGTGTACACAGCAGTAGGTACTGTGTACACAGTAGGTACACAGTACACAGTAGTGTACACAGCAGTAGGTACACAGTACACAGCAGTAGGTACACAGTAGGTACACAGCAGTAGGTACTGTGTACACAGTAGGTACACAGTACACAGCAGTAGGTACTGTGTACACAGTAGTGTACACAGTACACAGCAGTAGGTACTGTGTACACAGCAGTAGGTACTGTGTACACAGCAGTAGGTACTGTGTACACAGCAGTAGGTACTGTGTACACAGTAGGTACACAGTACACAGTAGTGTACACAGCAGTAGGTACACAGTACACAGCAATAGGTACACAGTAGGTACACAGCAGTAGGTACTGTGTACACAGTAGGTACACAGTACACAGCAGTAGGTACTGTGTACACAGTAGTGTACACAGTACACAGCAGTAGGTACTGTGTACACAGTAGGTACACAGTAAGTACACAGCAGTAGTCACGCAGTCGACAGTCGCCATCAGCCACGCTCCATTCACTGCTGGGCGATCTCCCTGCCGATGGACAACGCCTCGTGGACTGTGGACATCGCAGGAGGCCTTCATCCAGCAGTGTTTCAAGTTTCATTTACTAGGTATAGCCCTGTGAGCCATGCGGCTCTTTAGTCGGGTGCAACCACAACAAACACAATTTGAACACAGAACATCTTAAAGCGACAACGCGTAACAGAAACATCCTGGAACCAGCAAATATTCCACACACACAAAAAAACTTACTAAAACGCTGTGTGCAAAAATCACAATGTGGTGCAAGCCAACAACAACAACTATAAGACAATTTAGATTAACCATATGTTTTTGAATCACCAAAATAAAGCAATAAAAAACAGTGTAACAACAGTAATCATAGGAACTGTGCGAGTGAGCCAGCACACGATGAGTGAACCTGTGTATGATGAGTGAATGGGTCAGTGGTTGTGCGAGTGTATGATGTGTGAGTGAGTGAGCGCATGATGAGCGAGTCAGTGCATGATGTGAGTGAGTCAGTCGACTCAGCCTCAAATGAGTACCTGGTGCGGTGTGTAGTAAACATTGCCACTAGGGAGACAAAGGCGGTCGGGCGTGGTGCTGGCCACCCACCCCCTCGTGTACCGTTCCGGCCTTCATAGGTGCTACTCGCTAACAGCACTTGCCCCAACAGTCTGTTAAGGCTATACGGGGGATCTTTGTCTTTGTTGTATGAGAAAGTCAGTGTCGGCTCCCTCTGCTCGCGCGTCGACCCTCCCCCCCCCTCCGGCTCCCTCGCCCCCCCCGCTCCATTGCCCCCCCCCCCAGCTCCGTCGCCCCCCCCCGGCCCCCCCCACAAACGGCCCCGCCAGCCACTGCCGGGAGCGCACGCGCGCCTCAGGCGGCCATCTTGGATCGGTGTCCCCTGGTGGAAGTTGTCCCCGACCCTTGCTGCTAATCAACTGGCTCGAGCCCCTACTTGAAGAGCTGTCTACAGCGTGGCCGCGGCGGCAGGGGGCGGCTGCTTGGTCACGAACGACGATCGGAGACTTGAGGACTTCTTGTGGTGTCTTTATTCCGGAGTAGAACAGCGGATTAACCATAGCCGATGATGGATCACGACGACGACAACAACAATAACATCAGAAACATTGAAACTTGGCGCGGGTTCTAGGAGGCGGTGCGGCCTAGTGGCTCGGCCGGGGCGAGGCGCGTCCCGGCCCCGCAGAGGAAGGTCCCCTCGGGGTCCCCCTTCCCCCCCTCGGGGTCCCCCTTCCCCCCCTCGGGGTCCCCCTTCCCCCCCTCGGGGTCCCCCTTCCCCCCCTCGGGGTCCCCCTTCCCCCCCTCGGGGTCCCCCTTCCCCCCCTCGGGGTCCCCCTTCCCCCCCTCGGGGTCCCCCTTCCCCCCCTCGGGGTCCCCCTTCCCCCCCTCGGGGTCCCCCTTCCCCCCCTCGGGGTCCCCCTTCCCCCCCTCGGGGCCCCCCTTCCCCCCCTCGGGGCCCCCCTTCCCCCCCTCGGGGCCCCCCTTCCCCCCCCTCGGGGCCCCCCTTCCCCCCCTCGGGGCCCCCCTTCCCCCCCTCGGGGCCCCCCTTCCCCCCCTCGGGGCCCCCCTTCCCCCCCTCGGGGCCCCCCTTCTCGCGCTCACCCACCTGCACTTGTCTGAGAGAGCCCCGCGAGGAGGAGCCCGGGAATAAAAAACAGTCGCCGCGTCTCGGGCTCCGTTCAAATTCCCACGTTGACAATCCCCGAGCGCGGATAAACTCACCCCGCCCACTCGCCCGCCCACTCGGGCCACGCGCCCGCCCACTCGGCCCACGCGCCCGCCCACTCGGGCCACGCGCCCGCCCACTCGGGCCACGCGCCCGCCCACTCGGCCCACTCACCCGCCCACTCGGCCCACGCGCCCGCCCACGCGCCCGCCCACTCGGCCCACGCGCCCGCCCACTCGGCCCACGCGCCCGCCCACTCGGCCCACGCGCCCGCCCACTCGGCCCACGCGCCCGCCCACTCGCTCACTCACCCACCCACGCACGCACCCACCTACTCACTCACTTACCCACTCATCCACCCACTCACCCACCCACTCACCCAGTGACTCACCCACTCATCCACTCACCCACCCACTCACCCAGCCACCTACCCATTCACTCACTCACCCACGCACCCACCCACTCACTTAACTACTCACCCACCGACCTATTCATTCACTCACCAACTCACCCACCCGCCCACGCACCCCCCCCCCACTCGGCCCACGCACCCACCCACTCACTCACCCACTCACTCATCCACTCACTTACCCACTCCATCACGTGACCACTCACCCATCGACCCACTCATCCACTCATCCACCCACTCACTCACCCACTCACTCACTTACCCACTCTTCCAATTACTCACTCACCCACCCACTCCCGCAGGCGAGGCTGTGTTGGCTGGGACATGTAGCCCACATGCCCAGCCACCGCATGCCCAAGCAGCTTCTGTTTGGCCGCATCGAGGGGACTAAATTGGCATGATGTGGGCTACAGAAGAGATGGACTGATTCGGTACAGGCGGATGTGGAATTGAGTGGAGTTGCCGATGATCGGTACCAGCAGTGGTGTCAAGATCGGCCTCTATGGAGGAGGAGGCTCGTGAAGGACGCTGCTGGGCAGTTTCTAGGCAGTCGCCCTCCAGCAGCAACAGGGGCAAGAGGAGCGACACCCACAACAACGAGCGGAGCGCTGGGCGGGTAAAACACAGGAGAGTTGGCACAGTAGGGGTACAGCTTGTGCATCTTGCCAGTCGCCTCAGTCGGTCAACGCCATGGCATTTTCTGAGTCTGTCCCGTGACCTACCAGCAGCGAGCCTTCGACGTTTCACGTGGTCTCAAAGTACACCTAGCCTGGCACAAGGGCCATGGTGACGTCACCGCCACTTCGTCCACCCTGGTGCCGTGTAAACATCGCCACTCGGGAGACAAATACGGGCGGGTGTGCGTGATGTTGCCCCCCCCCCTCCTCCTTGTGTGCCGTGCCGGCTTGAACCACAACTGCTACTCGCTACTAACAGCACTGTCTTTCTGCTCACAATCATTAAGGGCCTTCATGATTCTGGAGCAGGCCCGGGCAAAGTTGCGTGGCCGGGTGTCGGAGCCATGCCCTGTTCACTTCAGGGTGTGACAAGGATGTCCTCTGGCCTCTACACTGTTGAGCATCGTCTTTGACCACCTAGTTCGAAAATATTTCCATTCTCATACTCTTTGGTTTTTTCGGTAAAGTCACGTAGGTAGAAAAAAATAATAGATCACGACGTTTCGATCGCAACACAAGCAACCGTCATCAGGTGGGAAACAAGCAGCAGGAGGACTGCTGACGTAGCTTTCCATTGAAGTATACCGATTGAATTCCAATCTGGTACAGATGTAGTGGGTTCTACGGAGGCACACACTTGAACTTGGAGGCAACACGTTTATTTTCAAACCCCAAAAGGGTAACTACATAAACGTAACAACGGGTTCTCCATTTAGGTGATAACTACACGGTTAACTAGACCACTATGGGGTAACTACATAACCGGGTCAGTCAGTAACACACTGCCTGACCCACGATGCCGAGCGTAGAGACCGAAGACTGAGGATCGAAGAGACTGACGTTGTTCCATTCCAACAGACAGCCGCGATTGCTCTCGGGACTTCCTTTTTATGCTCACGAGCGTGGCCTCGCTCCGCCCTCGGCCACGCCCCATTCTGGATATTACCAGAAGGTTCTCAACCAAGCATCACGTGTCTCTCAAGCCACCCTTTGGGCCCCCTCGCTACTCTGTCCCGGTCACGTGCCCTCTCGGGTTCACCCAGACTGTCAAGGCCTTACTTGCCCTCTCTCTAACCGTCACCAGAACCATGCCCCCTAGGGCCCGCTTCTATGCCATACCTACTCTGGTGCCAGAGAGAGGCTCAAAACGCACAGTTCCACCCTTGTGACAGTAGCTGGCGCTAGACGCCAGAGTGACTCCATTAACGAGACAACACAGATATAATGGGAAGATGATCGATGCCTGGGTGCGGTAAAGGGATGGCTCCCTATGGGTCCACCATGTTATGTATGCGGAGGAGCTTGTGATTCATTTTAACAGGTAGGATTTTGCGACTAATATTATCCAGCCAATTATTAAGGTTTGTCACAAACAAAACATGCCAATTAGTTACTCGCACATGGGTGTGTTGGAAAGTAAATCCATTGCAACATTTACAACTCGAGTACGACGTTTCGCCAGCAATTACAACCAGTCGCATCAAGCAACAATGCTGGTTGTTTAACGACACATTTATATTTACGCAAGTTAACCAAAATAATATTCTATTGTGAATCTGGTAACTGCTGCCTGCTCTGAGAAGGCGTTGCAGACGCTACTGCTGAACTTGGAGCATGCCACTAGGAGATGGGGTCTTACCATAAGCACTACAACAAAACAAGGCACCTGCCTGGGTATTTTATGCCATCAAATGCTCCCCATCACTCAACTTCCCCATGAGTGATGGGGCAGTAGTGGAGAGTATGGAGATGTTTCCATACAGGGGCAGTTTTCTTATGACCAGCTCCGGTTTGGCAGCCGAGGTCTCACTCCTAATAAAGTTGAGTGGCATTATCGTAACACTGTTGTTGAAATTTCCTGACCCTGTTGCTCCATGCAAAGTTCCAGGTCTTTTCGGTCACAGTTATGCCCTCCCTTATCCATGCTTGCAAAACGTGAGGCCCTCTGTAGGTACGAATTATCTGGATATTTATTTTATTTTACCAGTTGAGGTGCACTGAGCTGTGTTGCCCTTTTTCCAAAGCGGCCTGGCCACAAAATAATAGCTCAACGAAGTGGCTTATCATCATGTGAACATTTATAGAAGCCAAATACTCTGAGCTCATGTTGATTTTAAATTTTCAAGAAAAACCCGGAGGACCTTGGGAAAAGTCCACGCGACCACGGGGAGAACATGCAAACTTACAATATACAGGCATCAGGGTCGGAATCAAACCCACAATGTCCTGAATACCAGGCGACAAAGTTAACATCTCGCCCCAGTGACACCCCTACCTGCGCCGGCTTTAAACATTGAGGTTGGCCTGCCTACAATCCATCCTGGGTTGAAGCAGACTGAATTGTGTGAGGAGTTCACAGATCCTTGAAAGATCTGGACACAGTCCCATCAGTGAGCTCTTCTGGCAGGCGAGGCTGTGTTGGCTGGATCATGTAGCCCGCATGCCCAGCCACCGCATGCCCAAGCAGCTTTTGTTCGGCCGGGTAGGGGGGGGGTAAACGGGCACAACATGGGCTGGAGAAGAAATGGACTGAGGTGGTACAAGAGAATGTGGAGCTAATTGGTCTTGCCGATGACTGGTACCAGCGGTGTTAAGATCGTCCTCTGTGGATGAGGAGGTTCATGAAGGACGCTGCTGGCCAGTTGGAGGCAGTCGCCTTCCAGAGGAGCGACGCTCACAACAACGAGCGGTTTTGCCGGGCGACTAAAACGCAGAGAGTTGGCACAGTGGGGAGCATAGCTGGTGCATCTGCCAGTAACCTCAGTCAGTCAACCCTCGCACTGTTGCGTGACCTCTTGCCAGCGAGCGTTTGGTGGGAAACTGCTCCCCCTCTATTTTGATTTAAAGCTTTCGTGACTGCAGTAATTCATATTCTCAGTTCTTTCGGTAAAGTCACGTTGAAGGGAAACAACAAAATAATAAAATATATAAAACAATAAAACATTCTCACGACGTTTCGACCATAACACAAACGGTCGTCTTCAGGTGTGAAGGTGTGAAGACGACCGTAACACAAACGGTCGTCTTCAGGTGTGAAGACGACCGTTTGTGTTATGGTCGAAACGTCGTGAGAATTTGTTTTATTGTTTTATATATATTTTATTATTTTGTTGTTTCCCTTCAACGTGACTTTCACGACGTTTCGACCATAACACAAACGGTCGTCTTCAGGTGTGAAGACGACCGTTTGTGTTATGGTCGAAACGTCGTGAGAATTTGTTTTATTGTTTTATATATATTTTATTATTTTGTTGTTTCCCTTCAACGTGACTTTCACGACGTTTCGACCATAACACAAACGGTCGTCTTCAGGTGTGAAGACGACCGTTTGTGTTATGGTCGAAACGTCGTGAGAATTTTTTTATTGTTTTATATATATTTTATTATTTTGTTGTTTCCCTTCAACGTGACTTTCACGACGTTTCGACCATAACACAAACGGTCGTCTTCAGGTGTGAAGACGACCGTTTGTGTTATGGTCGAAACGTCGTGAGAATTTTTTTATTGTTTTATATATATTTTATTATTTTGTTGTTTCCCTTCAACGTGACTTTACCGAAAGAACTAAGAATATGCTCCCGCTCTGTTGACAAGATGGCGGCCGCCTGCCGCCCCACGTCCGCGGCGGGCGAAATGGTGGCCGGCGATTGCGAAACGACTGCCGGTTCCCGCACGGGCGCGGTGGCGGAAGGCGACCCCTCCACCTGCTGCCCCCTGCGCCGCAGCTCCTCCGGCAAGCGCAGCTGCCCCAAGTTGGACGACCAGCTGCGCAGCGGAGGACAGCAGTAGTCCGAGGCGCCCGGTGAGTTCTCGCCAATCCTCATCAGCCGGCGGCTGTGAGGGGCCGGCCGGTGCCCAGCCCCCCGCTGCTCCACAGGTGCCGCTTCCTCGGGACACATGACCCGGGTCCCGGATTTCGGGGCTGTTGAGGGGATAACGTCCCCGCCGGCCTCGTCCTCCGAGGACACT